AAGATCTCATCTCTGCTGCAGAATTATTCTGCAATCTCAGTTCTGCTTTTAAAAAATTTACTCTCTAGCACTCAGGGCTGCAGGAAGAGTCTAAAAAATGGGATAGGAGTGTAAACCAATGCCACACTGTCTCCCTGAGCTTGAGAGCTGTGGAATATTAGCCTAGAGATCCTGGAACTGCTCCCTACCCTTCAGTCAGAGTCCTGTGGATTTTGCGATCCTTTGGGCATGGAGTATGTTACTTCAGCACTGTTCTTCTAGAATTTGCAATTCTGATACAGGTGAGAATTGAAAGTCTTTTAGTCTTGTTGAGGGATTTGTTTTCAATAGCTTCTTTGGGAGAAGGTCTTCAGTGGATTATGTGCTTCTTGAATTACTGCATAGAAATTTAGCATGAAGAGCGATGCTGGGAATTCATCTTGCACCTAAGAAACAGAAGTTTTACAACCATTTCTCTTCAGGGAAGAATACAATCATCAACATGCCTTGCATGTCAAGTTGAAACAGTGTTACAGGGAGCAAGGTTGCCTGGGTCCCTGCCAGGAGGCGTAGGAAAAACTCATGAAACCAATGTGTGTTCTGATGGGAGAGACTTGTACCGTATGAACAAGAGGTGTATGAAGGGGATGAGGTAGTAGAGTTCATTTCTGGGAGGCAGGATTTGGTGCTGCTGCAACACTTCAGGATTCTTAATAATGCAGTAGTTACCATTTCTGGGTATGGAAAAAAGGGTACAAAACCCATTTTATAATCCAGAGGCTGAATGAACTGCTTTGCTAAAAGTTTCCTAGGAGTCCTTCATTGCATGCTTGCTGTTTTGTCAAGTGATGAGAGCAGTGAATGCATTTTGTTCTGAAAGATAATCTCCAAAGAATGGAAATTCTCAGTGAACTTCACATTTGTAAGAAATTAAGGTTTAGCTTTTAGAATAGAAAATTTCAGTTGGAGGGGACCTACAGCAATCATCTAGTCCAACTGCCTGACCACTTCAGGACTGACCAAAAATTAAAGCATACTTTTAAGGGCATTGTCCAAATGCCTCTTAAACAGTGACAGGCTTGGGGCATTGACCACCTCTATAGGAAGCCTGTTCCAGTGTTTGACCACCCTCTCAGTAAAGAAACAATTCCTAATATCCAGTCTTTTGACCTTCCAATCTTATCAATATCCTTTTATTTAAAAAAAACCAACCAAACCCACCAAACAACAAAACCCTAAAAAAAAAACCCAACCACCACACCCGAATTTGACTGTTTGACTGAATATGTGGGTATGGCATAACCATTTCCAATAGACAGAAGGTGGTTTTGAATGAGGTCGTCCTATGCAAAACAACACTAGCAAGAGCAAGGACTTGTTATTATGACAGGAAAGCTTGGCCCCAGGGTATAGTTTAACTTGGGCTGTCATGCTGTTGACACTTCTCTGCAGTGTAAGCCTGAGAAGGTTTTGAACTGAATAAGTCTTGTTGGCCCTCTGTTCTTCACAGGTTTTCTCTAAGTTAAGGTTGGAGTACAAAAAACTTAAAATCTGAAGTCTTACATGATAATGTATGTTCTTTTGTTGTGATGCAGCAGTACATGGAAATTCTGTAAATAAGAAAGAATGGAAGAGCAGATGGGCTCTGATCAGGAAAACCATAAATTGTAAGTCTCTTGGTGTGTGTTGCCTTGTGGTTTACTTTAGTTTTCATTTAGACCAGCTTTAGAAAGTTAATATCTACCGTTAAACCTTTTAGGCTATCTTCCCCTCTTTCTCTCTTTTTTTTTTTTTTTCTTTCCTTTTTCCCTGGTTTAGAAGTGAATAAAAGAGCTTTGTACAGTTCTTGAAACTGAGCCTGAAACAGCTCTGAGCAAAATATAGTGTTCCTTTCAAAATCTTGGAAATAATTACATCATAGGCATATTGGGCCAGAAACCGTTAATAGTATTCTTTGTGGAATGAAATCCCATGAGAAGACCTATTTCAGCAAACTGGCATTGTTTACAAATAGATACAGTGACGGATACAGTTGTCCCATTCTGAGGGACAGATGAAACTTTGTGTCCCATTATGGACTTCACAGAACAACCGTCTTGCTTTTGATAACAAGCTGAAAATGTGCCTTGGTGCTTGTGTGGTCAGCCTCATGCCAGTGATCCCAGGCAGTGAAGGCTGTCTTTGGCACTGGAAAAGTATTTGTAGGTGTGTTTAAAGATAAAATAAAAGCTTCTGTTGCCATAAGCTCCTAGTCTGTGAAAATTGCTGGAGGAAGAGGGAGCCATGTCCAGATGTCTCTGTTAGGCTTCATATGCTGGGAACTCCCTCACTCTTCCCTGTGCAGAAATGCCTGGGCATCATGCACTTTCCCTTCTACCAGGATAACATGCACAACACATGTAGTCCTACCTATATAACCTTGCAGAAATTTTCATCACTGGCTTTTTTCCGCCTCATTACTATAAATGCTTCTGCATTTTGGGATGGAAATCACAAAGATTAGTACTGTTAACTGTCTGTCCTAAATCTACAAAAGCATTTAATTCTCTAGGTAAATAGGCTACTCTGTACTTGAAAGTTAGATCAGCACAAGCCCTAGCCTGAGCAGGATTATAATTATTCCTTGGTGATATAAAGCACATTACTGCCTACATATGTGCTTCCCTAGGAGGGCTGGCCATGTTTCTCCACTGCCAGAGCAGGTCTCCCAGTAGATCTCTGCCTGGGCAGCTGGGCTGGGTGGGCAGAGCCATCTTGTGGGGAGCAGGCACATGTCGGGGACTGCAGCTTTCTGTGAAGGATCATTTCTGTGCTTTCCCAGGTGGTGTGTTCCGAAGGACAAAAACATCTTTCTGTCTGACAGCTGCCTCCAGTACGTGACTTCATTAGTTAAGAGTGCGTGATCTTTCCCATACTTCTAGGCCTGAAGGCAAGACTATAGGGACTAACACCTGGTCAGTGGCTGCCTGTAGTTCACTATTATTTGTGCAGGTGGAAGTGAGCAACTCCACGGTGTAGGGAAGTTCTAACAGTTCACATGGGGCTTGAACCTGTGCGTAGGCATTCTTTTGCCTGGTGAACACCATATTGATTTACTAGCGGAGCAATTGTTTGAGCTCTCCCTAATTTGCTGCAGGCAAAACATGCCAGAATAGCTCAGATCACTAATTTAACACAAATCAGTGGATGAAGTCAGCTGGGCAGAGTGCTTATACAAACTGCTTCCCTGATGGAGGTGAGAAACTGGGGTCAGTAAGGTCTTCGAATACATGTTTATGAATCAAGATCTCCAGCATCTGTGCTTCATGCTGTATGTACTAAGGAGGGGGCTGGGACCAGCTGTTAGTAGGGTTTTCAACTGTTTGACCCCAGGATGGGTCCCTGGGATCCCTTGGGGATCTAGACGTTCAGGAACCCCACTTTGTGGACCCAGGGACCAGTGCAAGGCAGAAGTGTGATGGTATATTTCATTTATTGTTCTTGTCACTGGAGAGATGCTTTGAATCTTAGATCTTGTATTTTGGTATCTCATTTAGATTAAATTAAAAATGTAAATCAAGTAATAAGAAAAGTGATCATTATATTTGTGGTAATTTGAAAATGGTAATAAAGGCTAAAATGCCCATGTCATCAAAAACAGTCTAGAGTGAACATCTCTAAATGTTTCAGTTGGTCATTTAGTTTTTATGTGGAAGGCATTGTCAGTTAAGGCAACGTGGATTTGATTATTCCCTATTAATGTATCAACTGGAAATCCTGGCAAAATTCTAGCTGTATCAAAATAAATGCAGTTGTTGAAAACGTTAACCTTGGTTCTTAAAAAATCTCAAAACAACCCTGAAAACCCTCAACCATGGCAGCTTTACCTGACCAAAGTGAGAGCATCAATTCTGTTACCAGTTGAACTTCAGGACCTCTTTGTGCAAGTGATAGTCACCATGTTTGGCTGATACTTCTGAAAAGAACCTACAACTTCCACAGCTGAAAAACATCAGTTATTTCATTTTAAATTTAAGAGAATAGCTGGTGACTGTGTTATCTGTGAATCAGCACAAGGAGAGATCCATAACACATGCACAGTGGTCTGTACATGCCTACCATAAAAGGAGCCACATTGATTTTAGAGGGATTGGAAGGCAAGGTGTCTGTAGAATTGTAACCTTTAAAAATATGTAGTATAGCCCACATCACATCTGATCCGTCTGAAATCATACTCTATTTTCAGGTCTTAAAACACTTCATTTTACCAAGTGTTCCTTGTTTGTTAAACCAGCTACTTAATCCAGACTTGAATTTTAATATTTAAGATACACTAGAAATAATAGGAATTTGAAGTCTTACCTGTCCTGTGTTTTCCCAACTTAAGAAAGTTTTGTAACAATTTCAGGGTATTGAAGGACTTGAAGGATGACTTGAATGGTTTTCAGGATATGACCATTTTCCCGCTTAGGTTTTGATTGTCTTGAAAGCAAAGTTATTGCTTATTTTTATGTGCAAGAAAGTTTTTAATTGGTACTTCTGAGTGAATTTCATTTGAGAAGATCATTTCTTTTGAAGTCCCACGCTCCCAGGACTAGATCCTCTCCAAACACAGAGCAGGGAGGGGAAAAAGAGATCTTAATACTTGCTATCCATATCCTCCCAACATGCACCTTGTTTCTTACATCATAGAAATGATTCACTATGATACAAGTATTTTCAGTAAATCATTTAAATTTTGCTTTGGAAGTCTGGTTTTAGAAGAAAATTTGGATTGTAAACAACTACAGGAAAAAATCTGTAAATAATTTTAACAGCCTTTAACTGGGATTAAAAAAGAATATTGTAATGGTGATACGGTGATTTTTAGGAATTGGCTGCTGCATTTATTTATAGCAACCACAGTAACCTTATTCAGAGCAAACTTCTAATAGAGAGACTTCCTTATTCCACCAGAAAAATTTTCTTGCCATTTTTCCTCCCCTGGACATCAGCCTTGGCATCCTTACTTGACAGGCATGCTTTCTGTTCTGCTTTTGCAGGAGGCTGTGAGGGCTGCTGAAGATGTCCGATAGTCTGGATATTGAAGAGAAACCTCCAGCCCCACCGTTGAGAATGAACAGCAACAATCGCGATTCTTCAGCACTAAACCACAGTTCGAAACCACTCCCCATGGCCCCTGAGGAGAAGAACAAGAAAGCCAGGCTTCGCTCCATCTTCCCAGGAGGAGGGGATAAAAGTAAAGTATCAGCAGTGCAAATGGGTGGCTACATCTCTGTTTGCTTTCTTTTGATTGTTGATTGCCGTCTTTGCTTTCTGCCACTGCTTTCTTTCTGTTTCAGTTGGTCCTTCCAAAGCCTTCTGTTTCAATTACTCTAGTAACATGTTTCAAAAGAGGAGGAGGTGTTCAGTCAGTTACTTTCTTGTCTTTGAAAAGCCGGTAAAACGTGCACGCATTGTGCGACTTGTCTTTTAAAAATAACTTTATAGTTAAGCTGGAGGATCCTTTCCTCTGGATTTTGATTTGCATTTGCAGTAGAAACAGAGATGAGGTTATGTACTTTTGAAAATATATTTGCAGAAGTGAGACAGCAATATGCCTGACACTTTTGGGTTTTTTTTTAATGCACTTACATTCCAGAAACAGGAGCATTTTGCAGTGAGAGAGGATGCAGAATGGCTTGGTTTAAAACCTGCTAGGTGTGCTTACAGCAAGAGAGTCTTTTAAAAATGCAGGAAACAACATTTCAGTTGCATTCTTTGAAATGCGTTTGGAGAAAGAAGTGTGTTTTGAGTTAGTTTATTTAAAGAATTAAGGGAAGCAGTCTTTTTTTGTAATGCCATGGGAACTGATGGGCTGCACCCATAAGTGCTGAGGGAGATGGCTGATGTCGCTGCAAGGCCATTCTTTATTATCTTTGAAAGGTTATTGTGACTGGGGGATGTTCCTGATGACTGCAGAAAAGCAAATGTCACATCTGTCTTTAAGAAGGAGGATTTGGGGAACTACGTATGGGCCAGTCAGCCTCACCTTGATCCCCAGAAAGCTAGTGGAGCAAATCCTCCTGGAAACCATTTCCACACAAATGAAGGTTAAGAATGTGATCAGGAATAGTCAGCAGGGATTTATGAAGGGGAATTCATGCTGAACCATAATGACAGCCTTCTACTGTGAGATGACAGGCTTGATGGTGAAGGGAAAGCACGTCTACTTTAGTAAGGTGTTCAACACAGCCTCCCATAGTATCCTTGCTGACAAGCTAATATAGTACAGTCTAGATAAGTGGACAGTAAGATGGACTGAAAACTGGCTGAAATGCTGGTCTCAAAGTGTTGTGATCAGCTGCACAAAATCCAGCTGGATTTTGAGAGAGACTCCAGCTTTGAAATCCTCACTCTTTCTCCAAGGATTGCTCAGAACTGTGGGAGTGCAGTCATTCCTCAGAGCTCCAGCTCACCTTCGCAGCTTGACTGCCCTGTCCCCAGTCTCTTCTACAGGTCATGTGGAGCAGTTGGAGGTAGTCTGGTGTTCAGAACTCCTTACAGGCAGTAGAAAGCACAATTTCAGCCCTGTTCCTCCTCTCAGTCAGGGGCAGTCCTGATGACCTCTCTCATGTGAAGGTTGTGATTGTATGGGCCCATCCCTCAGGCAGACCTGGCCAGTTCACTCTGCAGAGTGCTTCCCAAAATGTCTCCTTCTGGAAAAAAAAATATTTTTCAAATAATTCTTTTTGAAGAGCAAAATTAAAATATCTCACAGCTTCTTTAATTCCTGGATGGACTTGGGTTACTACTTCTGACTGCCAGCAGGATGGTGTTATCCCTCTCAGAAGGAATATTTCTGAAGTAGGACGTGCTGTGTGAAATGCATGCAGAAGCGAGGAGATCCAGAAACAACCCCTCCTGGAAATGATCAGTGACATTAAAAATAGATGTAATTAACTACCAGTCAGAGCAGTCTTAGGAAACATGCAAGTATCATGATTTTAAATGTGACTGTGAGGGAAAGCAACATACAATTTATAGCTTAATTTTGTTGGGTGAAATAATAAATGAGGGAATTTAGCTTGGCTGGCCAAGCCCCTTGAGGTGGTTTTATCTCAGGGTCGGTTTGTGGGTCAGGGTATCAGCTGGCCTGTGCATGCTTCACAGACTCAGTGACATATTTTTGAGAGTCCTGCTTATAAAACAGAAGGTGATTGAAATGGCTGCTCTCATCTAGTGCAGTGCTTTGCACCATCATAACTTTATATTTAATAGTCCACCAGTGGTACTAGTAAACAGAACATGAAGAAACACCATGGCAGGGTGTTTCTGTCTGAACCTGCAGTTGTCTTTCATTTGTTTACCAGACAGGAGGGATGTGAGGGTGGATATGCTGCAGTGCATTCTCTCCAAGGCAATGGTTTATGCCAGGACTGCTGTGCTTGAGGACCAGGCATCTTTCACTCCCAGTCACTCCCCTCTTGGAGCATAGGGTTTTCAGTCAGGGTTTGAGCACTTCTCTGTTTAAAATCTTGTTTTGGCAAGCCACTGATGGCTCTATGGGGCCCCTCTGTGTGTCTACAATTGAAACAAGCCACTTGGGTGTTAGTGTGCTGCTCCTTCCCATAGCACCTGACCTCCTAATGTTCCTTGCTGTACTCCTCTCATCCCTGTCTCTGGGGTAAGGTACCCCATTTCCTGGGGGCAGGATGCCAAGGCACACAACTAAAATACCTTTCCAGTGTCACGTGGGTAATCTGTGTGAAACAAGGAGCTGAACCTGCTCCCCCCATAGCCCATGCTGAAGCTGTGAAATTGGCCTTCCTTCCTCGGAGGTAATGATGGTGTTGGGAGCCGCAGTGGAGTTCTAGCATTAGTGTTTCCTTTCAGCAGAGTGCTGTTACCTCAGGAGAATTGAGAGCAGAAAGAAATTACTTAATGTTCTTCTGGTTGTCCGATACAGCCTTGTTCTTCTTTCATTAAACCACCTGTAATTGCTGTGCTTTGAAGTAAATTAATACTGTGTGTGAACTGGTGGCTCCATGAAGGCACTGTAGAGCATTCAGCCTAAAGAAATGAGAGGGCAGCAGGCCCACCACAGCTCAGATGCCCCTTTCAGCAAAAGAGGTACATCCATGTTAAGATTACTGAGTGAATGATATCACTTCCATCTAAGCTGCTTTAGACTTAGTTGCAGATAGGAGCAGAGTTTGACCTTTAGTCATCTGATCTGACCACCTCCTGTACAGAAAAACAAGAAAAGAGGGACGGAGAAAAACCCAGTGGGGTTAAGATTAATGGAGAAGAAAGAAAAGGTTAAGGCTGCTGGGGTAAGACAGGAGGAGCAGAGCAGGAAGGAGGATGGGAGGACAGTGTGAATGAAAGTGGAAGGGAGAGGGGATAAAGGAAAGAACAGAATGAGAGGAAGAGGCAAGCAAACAGGAGGGCATAAGCGTGAGGTCAAACCCTTTCTCCCTCTCTGGAGAAAAGCTACCACTTATCTGAGTCACATTTTTCTCCCAAACAACTGCTTTTTTAACATTATGATGATGATGATGCAGATTGTGGCAGACAGCATACACTTCCTTGTTCTCTTTCAGTCTGTAATAGTTACTGAGTTGGTGTGGGTGACTCTCGTGTCTAACTGCTGTGCAGCAGGAGTGTTTTGTAAGGGGCATTTACAAGAAAATCAAATGAGATTTTCTGGTATAAAACCCTTGAATCCAGTCTGTCATTGCTTCAAAGAAGTCATGTCTTTTCCTGTTACTTTTCCAGTTTATGTAAACTAGAAGTGATTTGACTTGCAGGGCACAGACAGAAGCATCAAAGTTTTTAGGCTGGGGAGGGGTAAGGGTTTGGCAAGGAGCTGTTTTAATTCTGTATTTAATTTATAGTTTATCAGTGTTTGGACCATAGGTGTTACATCCACAGCCTGGTAGCCAGAGGTCCATAAAACAGATGAGGCAAACCTTGGGGCATGAGCTGGAACACTTGTCCATTCTAGGCTTCTCCTGCCAGGGGACAAGTGATGCTTTTGACGGAATGTTTTCTGTAATGCCTTATTTCACTTCTAGATTTGACTGTTGCTTTAAACTGAATTTGATGATCCTTTAAATCTAATTTTCACTGCATTTGCTTGCAAATGATGAGGTAGGAAAAGCCAATTTTGTTATCTACAGTAGAAAGTTATGAATGCTGAACAGAGATGACATCTTGTAACTGGCAATATCTATCCTGAAAATTAAACAACATCATCTTAGAGATAAAAGAAAGGGAAAAGCCTTTGCATTTGTATCTGATATATTGCTGCCATCTTTACTGAATGCTAAATGAAAATAATTCATCAATTAACATTGCATAGTGATATGCAGTACAGACAAAAGGTGGGAGTTAATTATTTAATGAGGATAAATGCAACAATGCAGAAAAAGGATTAAAAACATCCAAAATACTATAAACTATAAATATGAAGAGGGAAGCATCTTCCAACTAAAGGAGGCTGTAAGGTAGAATAAGAAAGATGTGCAAAGAGAGACCTCTGAGCGAAGACAGATCCAGGTTAGGAGGGGTGCTGATACACAGGGAGCTTAACCTTTGGATGAGACCTCTAGGTAAACCCATGAAGCTGGCCAATGTAATACTAAAACACTGAAGGAAAAAGTTAATTAAAAATACATGAGCATGGTAGTGCTTTATGTTAGAAGGCTGATGTACCAGAAAATAGAGTAGCAAAGCTGTATCCTCGTCAATATTGGTAGAAGGGGACACTTGCTCTTGAAATAAGACACACACAAAATTGTCTTAGTCCAGCTGTTTTTAATGTGTAGAACATGACTGTCACTGGCGCCGCACTGAGGGAATATGGAAGGCAAAGAGGACCTGAACAACTGCTTCTTTCTCTCCTGCTGATGTGTAACTATGGCATGTGATTCATTTTTATATTATCATTAATAAATGGCCTTTAAAGACTCTGATACAGAATCCTATTGTGATAGGCACAGTGTAAACCTCTTGTATATCTCTGGGTTTCTCACAACTGTTAGCGTGAAGACCTGTCACATCAGACAAGCCTGCTCAGGGTCACGATGAGGATATGTAAACGAAGCACACATTAAACTGGTAAGAAGGGCAGTAGAGAAGAGGTGAGATTCTGGGGTGCAGATTGCTTTATTTAAGGACATGAGGTGATGTGACTTTTTTGCATTCCACATGCGCGCTTTATTCATGTCTTATTTCCTGAGTTTGTGTTAATAAATCTCACATACTGCAAGTGGGCACTGTAATATTTGTTCTGTTCCAAACAGAGCATGTTAATTTTTCCTCTGAAATGACAAAAGTATTTGGTAGAATGGCAGTTCCCCTCTCAGCTGTTACAGATACACCACTGGCACTAGAGAAGATTTTACAGATAGCTCTGTACTGTATTACTCAACCATGTGGTAGTTAGTCTTGGAGCATGCTGGTTCTCCAGGGAAGCCAAATATTTCAGGTACCTGCCAGCAGGATAGATGTTGCAATGTGAGTTTATGCTATGTTTATCTGGATGTTTGGGAGTTGTCCAGAACTGGCATTATTGTCACCATTTTTCAGAGAAATCTCTGTTGAACATAGATTCTTGATGCATCAGAGTGAAGCCAGCTTCTCTCAGCCTTTATTCCACTCATTCTTTATCAGGGTCAATAAAACTGGGCTGAAGTGAGTTTTGTCAGTAGCAAAAAGCATAGGAGAAGGAGAACCACAAAGGTTGTTACATTCAAAATGTGTTTAAATTGAAGGGAAGTGAGAAACATATGCAGGTTGACTGATTTCCAAGTCTGTCTCTTTCAATAAGATACTCCACACTCTGAATACTGGTGGAGCAAGTCAAAAACAAAGAATTTCTGGAGACTAATAAAGCCTGGGGTTTATGGTTATATGTCTTAGTTAATTGAGAGCTCAAATGAAGCTTTTCCAAGCTGTTGCTGTGCAGATGCTGTGGTTTCTAATACAGAGCCACTGCTTCAGCCTTTTACTCGGAGAGGAGACAGGAATAGGATCTTTGTCTTCTGAGCTGCCCATTTTCACAGAACTTGTAGGAACCTGGTTATCTGGAAAAACCTCTCTCCTCTGATTTGGCTGAGTTTGAAAACAGATTCAAAGTATGTTGGAGGAAAGACACATACAGGCAGGCATGCACATGCATGTCCTGGGTGCTTTATTTCTGCAGGAACCCACAGAGCAAAGTCAAACAGGAGTTAGTCACTAAATAAGAAAACCTGATGAAAAAAACACCTGATAATAGAAATCATACTGGTTACAGATAGCCTAAGAAGGCTACTTCATGAACAGCTTGCTTCGGCAGCTGTGACACTGATTGGAAGAAAAAGAAAATGAAGTAACACCTTCTAGACCTTCCCAAACTGGGGTTGACAGGCTGGTATTGTATTAGCTTTGGTCTATTTGTCAAGTAAAGTAAGATGGACATTAATTGATTTGTTTTCCACTTTTAAAATACTATTTTGAGCACACCTGATTGTGAAAATTTTTGAATGAAAAGCTGTGCAGAAAATAAGTGCATGTTAACATTTTGCCTCTAGCCAACAAGAAGAAAGAGAAAGAACGCCCTGAAATCTCTCTTCCTTCAGACTTTGAACATACCATTCATGTGGGATTTGATGCCGTCACTGGAGAATTCACAGTAAGTAACCGCTGTATTGCGTGCTTACCAGAGCTTCTAGTTTCTTGATGGTAAAATAACCTCCTGTTGCCAGAAACGTCAGATGACAGCAGCCAGGCTGTGAAGAAAGAGACTTTTATTTGTTGGGCTTAGGATTTGGAGTGTTTTACTTCTGATTGAGGCTGCTTTTTTTCTCCAAGGATTGTCAGCAGAGTGTCTGTGGAAAATGAAAACTAGGAAGAACGTAGGTGTGTGCTTTTATCAGTCCCACAAGCTGTTACAGGGGTTGGTTATTCAGTGTCTTTAGAAAAGCATAAAAAACCCACACACTTGTGCACAGTGTATGTCTTGCTGTAGACAGTCAGCTCCAAAGTGTAAAGTTCATCTGCTCTGCAGACAGTCCTTGGAGATGCCCAGAAAGCGACAGCATTGTGGAAATCCATTCATTTTAATATTATTCAAAATATATCCATAGACTAGGTGATCAGACACGTTTCTAGCCTTTAATAAAACAGCAGTCTGCTTTTTCTACTTATATCACAACAAAGTGTTTGAAGTGTTGGGAAAAATGAGTCTGATAGAAGCTCCTCGAAGTGCGCAGGGGGCTTCAAAGCATTTTCTTTCAGACTACTAGTTAGGTGCTGAAACCATTAATCCTTAAAGCTAAGATGGCAGTAAACTTACATTTGGTTGAGCTGTAGAGGTGAGAGGAAACATTAGCAATTCTCCATACCGTCAGTAGTACCCTGTGAGCTAAGTGGTCAGACTGTGTTATCACTGTGCGTCAAATTGTAAAGCGTGCTAGTGCTGACTGGCTGCATACACCAAACAGGATGGGACAAATCATTTGCCTGGACAAAAGATGGTTTTCAGAATTTGAGCCCTAAATATGATTTCTTCATAATTTTTCACCTTGATTGCTACTTCTGTTTCTTAGAAACATTTCAGAAGCCTGGAAACTTTCTGTATGCTGCAGTAGCAATAGTGTTAATATCAATAACAATAGAAGATAAAAAGACACATTTAAATGACAGCATGTCTTTTAAAGGAGTAGTGAAATTGGAAATATCCTTAGTAATTAGGAAATATGCTACATTTAAAATATGTGGACTAGTTAATTAACCTTTTTTAAAATAGATATCACTTATAAAGTCTTACTTCAAAATTTATTCTGTGCCAAACCTTAGCACTTGATTAAATGCTCATTTAAAGAGCCCAGATGTGGTCATTTTTTATCAGAAACAATATAAAGCTTTTTAAATTGTTTTTTCCCTGCTATCTATCCTGGTTTTCCTCTTTTTTTCCTGTCTCTCCCTGTAGCTGCTTTATTATTCAGGTTAATCCTCAGTGCCATTCTCTTTATCTTGGAGTCATGTTATATAATCTGTTACTTCTGCTTTTGTTTTCTGCCCTTGCCCTTGCCCTTGCCCTTGCCCTTGCCCTTGCCCTTCCCCTTCCCCTTCCCCTTCCCCTCAACTGAATGTTCAGCTGTTCATATTCTGTATTTGCTCTTCCTTTCAGCCTTCTGCCTTTATTTCTACCCTGTGCTTCAGACTTTTTCCTTCTGGCTCTATACAAACACAATGGGTCACAATTGTGTTTTACTAGACTGACTGGTGGTGAGGATCCCAGTTAGTTTCACGTCCCTGCCAGCTGGAACAAAAAAGAGGGACATTGAGGTTAACACACTTCAGTTCTAAACACAAGCACTCTCTATCAGTGCTTCAGAGGTCACAGTTTGGATCAATTTGAATGTTACTATTATAATCCAGTGTGTCAAAACAGTCTCTAGCATCAGAGAGCATGGTGTTTTTTGGTTGGGGTTTTTTTTTTTGGTGTCAGATGCCACCAGCACAGGTCCTGGCCTTTTATAGAACAAAGCACTTGCGCATGGCTAGATAGGTCCACCTTTATGGCTGTAGCACAATCTCTTTTTATATCTTTTTCCATTTCGAAGCAGTGGACATTAGATGGTTGATGTTTCACAATTATACAGTATTTCTACAATAATACTTGTCCCTAGAGCATGGTAGTGCAGCACTGCAGTTTGAGAAGGCTCTAACTAATTCAAAACAAACCAAAGGAATAGGTGACTTCCCCCATGCAGCTTGCCAGGGCTTGTAGCACAAGACTTAATGCTGCAGTCCTTAGTGGAGTGAAATGTCAGTCAAAGAAAGGGCATTTTCATACCATTAAGAAGTATCCGCTCCCAACTAATCCCAGATGCCAGCATTATGTTGCACGTTACATTAGGCATGGTTGATTTGTCCCAACCTGGATACAACCTGTGTATCAGCTGGGTAGTCATGTGGTAAGTATGTCCTGCTGAAGGAACTGCCACTAGCCATATCATGTAAAAATACTCCCACTGTCTAGTGATCAATCACACTTGTCTGTCTCTTTCAAAAGTTTGGAAGTGCCATGGGAATGTCCAATAAATGAGCAAATATATGGGGGTTTTGTTTTGAATTATTCCAGTTGTCATGCCTATAGTGTCTGCTCTACTGGTTATGTGCAATGCATTGGGCCATTTCCTGACACCCAGTAGTCACCCCCCAGCTGCATTATCTGATTGCTGTTAGTTGCATTTCAAATCAAAGTTGCATGGGCTCCTGAGTTTCAGCTTTCAGGCTCGAACACCAAGCTGTGTTGTTGCTCATGAATGTATGTTGTATCTCCATTTCACTGTGCTTGGAGCAACCACATTTGCAAAGAAGTAGGGCTTTTAAAACTCAAAATAAAATTGGTTTGAAACAGTTGGGTGGGAGCATGCTGCTAGAGCTTTATGTTGATTTATTTTGAAGAAACAGTTGCATTTTCTGAGCAGAGGAAGAAGTGTGGTTTGCAGGGCTTTGGGGAGTGTGTTTTGTAAGGCATGCCTTTTTGAAACAGTTTCCTGATCCCCAATCTAGAATAAAATGGTCACCCACCAAACTTTTAAAGTTTCAAGATGATGACATTAGCAAGTGGGAGAAAGTTGTGGCTATAGATCCAAAGAAGTTGCATGTTACTAATCTAATCAAGCGTTTCTTTAGAATTGTCCTGATTTTCAGTCTGATGTGCATAGATCATTTGTATTATGACAATGCACAACCTCCCGGTGTGAAATCTGAGTTTGACCAGCTCCTTTCCCCACTGCACTTTGTTGACTCCTGCACTGGCCAATTGTGATCTTGGGGCTGGAGAACCATTGGAAAAAATTTGTGTAGAGCCATTCAAAAATACTAGCCTGGCTTTCAAAACTAGACGAACAGCAGAAGCACAGATCTTTCTCTATTGTTTTTATTTTTTAACTAAAAAAAAGAAATCACAGGTGATTTTTCCAGTCACTTGCCGTTAATCCTTAGTAATGTATTTTTATGAGGGAGAGAAAAACTGGTTTAAAAAAGAGAGGAGGGGGAATGATGCTTCCAAACTTTGGAACAGTTGTGATTTTTCTGTTTTCCTAAGTCTGCCTTCCTGTAGCCTGTCCACCACCTAATTTATTTGGTATCTACCTCGTAACTCCCATTTTAGATGGGACTTCCCCATTTTGGCCCATTGGTTTCCTCCTACCACCTTCTAAGTTGTCCCACATTCTGTTTTAACTTTCTTTTCTTTCTTTATTTACGTCCATTACAGCCAGATCTCTATGGCTCACAGATGTGCACAGGGAAGCTCCCAGAGGTGCGTCACAGGCCCAAAAGACTTGCATCAAAATGCTTCTTTGAGATGTCATAGCACTGCAGCAGCAGGTTGATGTGTGTGCAGTAGATTTGTTGCTTGGCTTATCCCACTTTTTTTTCATTAATCCTAAACTTTGGAGGCCCATGTCACATTGTTTTGTGGAGATCGTCTTAGGAAGAAGCTGTATTAAAGTGTTTACCTAGATTGGGGTGGCACCAAGACTAAGTTTAAATGTACTTCAGGTGTAGTTTTTCATTCAGTAAGCCCTACAATTTGCTGGTAGATGTTGGCCGTGCAGTAAATGGGGGAAATTACAGGCTTTCAAATTTAGGAAATTATACTGGATATTTAAAGCATTTTTTCATCGATGTAATTTCCGTGCAGAGCTGCAACTTTCAGCGATTGGATCAATTTTCAAATGCCACCCTCACTCATAAGATGTCCGAGAATTCATGCAAACCTTTGGCACTCTCAGCCTGTTTTCTGAGTCCCTGGTTTCTGTATAATTACAGTAGAGAACCTACAGAGGTACAGGAGCTCGAAAAAGAGACATCCTTAGCAGCAGTGGTACAACTCAGTGTTATGATTTTGAGAATTTAAATACATTCTTAACCCCACAATATTCCCTGGTATGCTGAAAATTAATTGTAACAGAGTGGGGTTTACCTTTTAATCAGACATCAGTGATCATTTCAGCAAAATGTGTTTGCATCATTAAGCATTAAAAATCCAGTGTAAAACTCCTAAAATACACTGTGTTGTCCACAAATATAGAATAGTCTTGTTATGTCTGCACTGAATCACCAGGAAAACAAGCTAAGCCTTAAATCATTATTCCATGGAAGAGCAGAGTTGATTTAAAGATGAGTTTCATGCACTTTTTTTCCTATCACAGTCATAACTTTCTTTTCTTTTTAAAGTTGGATCCTGGTTTTAGCTCTATATTTTGATAGAGAAGAGAATGATTGCATCTAATGTATAAGCTACTAATTTTAATTGTAAGGTATCAATCGAAATTTCTGAAAGTAATCTTACAGGTAGCATGGGATCTTGGTAAAGATCTATGAAGCTGCGGCTGTTAAACATTTTAAATCCACATTCTTTCCACTTGACATCTACAGGGCATTCCAGAGCAGTGGGCCAGGCTACTACAGACCTCCAACATAACAAAACTGGAGCAGAAGAAGAACCCACAAGCTGTTCTAGATGTTCTCAAATTTTATGATTCCAAAGAAACAGTTAACAACCAGAAATATATGAGCTTTACGTCAGGAGGTAAGTTGACATCTCGCTGCGAAAAAGAAAATGTCAGGCCCCAAAATGAGACTGACGTTCAACTTTCAAGTGGTCAAGAAACAACCTTTAAAAAATCCACTTTGTGGAACACTTCTGAAACGGATTGTATTTCTCCTTTTGTCCCCTAAATATTACTGAAACTGTGACTTTTCTTTGTCACTTGTTTTTAGAACTAAATATGATACTAGATGGAACAATTATTACAGTTTTTAGTCAGAAGCATTAGTGGCCAAAAGTTATGTTTACTTTTTTTTGCTCGCATCCTTGTTCATTCACAGCATTCAGATTGGGGTATGGGGTATACCTGTTTTGTGCATTTTATGAGTTACTTTTGAATCCTTGGAGCAATAGGTTATAGACTATGAGGATTTTTTGTGATACTTTGTCATAGAGGAGAATTTTCAATTATTTTTTTGTGTTAGCTGAAGAGAAGATTAGGTTGCATTCACAAGCAAACGTGGAACAGCTGCTATTGTGATGTAAAAGGAATATTGCCACAGAGGATGAGAAGGAAGGTGTCCATATCCAGAGCAGTCTCCGTAGCATGCTCATTCCCGGAGGATTCTTCTGATTTAGCCGTTACTATGCAAAAACCTGCAAATGTGATGGGGGTGTAATTTTTTTCCCTGGGTTGTGTAGATTATACAAAATTGTAGTGTAGCATTGCAAAAATGAGAGTGCAAGTCTGTGCTGCAGTTTGCTTTTTTTTTTAATTTGTCTTTTTTTTTTTTTTCCCCCTAGACAAACTCTGTCTGGTGACACATCTAGAGAGTAAGCAGAGGTTTTTACTAGGTGCAGCATATCTGGCTTGTATTCTTTGGCTATTCCTTAACAACTGAGTTGATTTTTAGACAAAAATACCATTAAGATACCATTAGTTTGGTAAAGCTCATGTCAACAGTTTCAGCTAATAAAGAGACGTTCCTATCCAACAGTGTGTGGACAGCATTTGTAATTTAACCTGCAGTGGTTCAGTTCTCTACATGATAGTCTGTGGCAGTGGAGTCTAATTTCCTCAGTTTGCTGGTTCAACCAATACAACTTCCAAAATGCAGAGTGGGAGAGCTTCTCAGTGGTTCTTCTGAAAACTGTGCAGTTATCTCCAGAATTTACTAACATTTCTCTTCTTTTGCAGGAAAGCATCTTTTTTTCTGAATTCCGTAATTAAAAGATTTGACTAACTTGACACTTAATGTTTGCTAAAATAGCAGTTAATTTTGTGATGAAATGCAAAATTCAAAACAGTATATGCTCCTGAACTCAGGAGCTGTTACTGTGCTATGTCAGCATAGAACTGCCATGGCTTAGGGGGATTTTGGGGAAGGCTTAGGGGGATTTTGGGGAAGGTTTTATGGGGAAACATTTTCAGTAAGCTAAAAAGAATCAATGCATGTAATTATTTAAAAAAAAAAATCTGCTTTAGCTCTTGGGTGGAAAGAAGCATTTACTGTTAAAGGACAATTTGCATTTTCTTGAGCAAGTTTATTTTTTTACTAGCAAAACAGGGTAAAAAATAGGCACAAGAAACTGTAGAAAAAGAATAACCAAGTATATTGTCCTGTTATCTTGCTTGCTGCGTGAAATGACTATTGCTACCGGAGGGATGTTGTGAAAGAAAAATGCTATCTATTTGGATTTACTTGTTCTGTGGGATTCCCCACAATGGGCAGATTTTTAACAGCGTCTGGTTAATTTTCCCTTGCACATTGCAGATAAAAGCGCCCATGGATACATAGAAGCCCATCCTTCGGTGAGTGTGAAAGTAACCTTTTACTTTCATAGCACTTAAGAATTGTGGAACAAGCTGTGAGCTTTGCCTTTTGTTGTAGAGTGCCAGCCTTGTAGGCTGAAAGAAAGTACATTTTAGTGTCTCTGCAGCAGCAGAAGAGGGATCACTGGCTGTTTTCTCATTTTCTGTGTAAGAACTTTTAAACAGATGAAAGTCTGGTTTTGCAGACAGAAGATTGCTTGCTGTTCTTAGCCATGGTGGAATATATAATTTGCAACAATATGCAGTACTGTCTAATTAGCCTATTTTAATTTAGTTTTAACAACTTAGAATCCATTTCTATTAAATTTTATGATTTATCCTTAGTACAGCTGGATATGTAGCTGAATATAAATAAGGTTATAATTGATATGTAACTCACTGGAACCATTGAAAGAAAGTTTTAAATAATCATCCGCTCTAATTAATACTGGATTGCCATAGCAATCCCAGAGATGTAGTCATGACATTCACATTAATATTGACCAGATTTATTAGTGTTAATGTTAGTGCATTAAATAGCAAATGACTGAACGGGGATTTGGCCTTTATTTTCAAGTGTTAAGCAACTTAATTTTAGGTTTGTGATTACACAGCAGAGAGTGTGTATAATGAAATGAAAATAATCTTTGAATATTCACACTTAAGCTTTTCAATCAATGCCACTTTCATTTAATAAACCAAACTTTTAAAAGGAAGTTTGGGGTTCACTAGAGCATAGTAAGCCTTCCCAATAGCTTTTCCAGTGGGTATGGACACACCAGTAGATGCTGTGGTATTTTGTTCTAGCAGGCATAGACAGTAGTGAGACAATCAAGATGTCAGCTTTCAAAAGTTACCGACTCAGAGGATGCTGGTTGAATGTTACAGTACAGGGAAAACAACTCTCTGACAGGATCGAGCAGTCATTGGAATTACTTTAATTTCATTTCACTCCTTAATGAGAGTCTGGCATTAAATAATATGACATTGTATATGTCCTAGATGCACAATTTAGTGCTGTCAGACCAAGCATGGAGCCCAGTGGAAAAAATAGTTACAGGAATTTGACATAACAGAAATGTGATTATTCCCTTCTTTTTATTTCCCTTAATCATCTTCTATCCCCATGTAAGCAAAGTGTTAACAATGTGTAAGAAGCTATATGGTAATGTATGACCGAGTAACATTCACCTTCCCATTAGGGCACTCCTTGCTTACCAGAATAGGCCCTTAAACTGGTGTTTACTGTCTGATGTATCATTCCCTACTTCGGCCAGATTAGTAGCCTTTTTCACCATTTACCTTTAAAAGTTGAGTAATGGGACTGAGTCTCAGAGAACACAGAATACTCTGTGGGTGTGCATCTGTATGACAGTGTGTTCAAGTGCAGGTGACTTAAGGCAGTGACACAGTTATCTATTCAGTAAAACACAGACATGAAGATTAGGTCTCCCTGTTCCCTGTGGGCTGTCTCTTCCTGGTATTTATACTGGACCAAATTGATGACATTTTAAAGATAATGCGAGATGTTAATATGTAGAATAATGCCTTTTATTTGCTTCAGTTCTCCATGTAGTCTGTTGTAGCCAGCTTTAAAGCAGTTAACAAGGCACCTTCTCAGTATTTTGTTTCACCAGCAAATTTGTGACAACATGATATAACCCCCTGCGTCTGAGTAGCAGCTGGGACTGGTGGGGGGGGTTTCAACTCACCTAACTTTAAATATCTGCACTGTAGGCTTCAGTTTACATGTAGACAACTGATCAGCCAGACTTCCCTTGCCTGCCCCGTATTTGGAGGCTGCCTGAAGGTCAAGTGCACCCTGTCAGTGGCTTTTATTCTCCACTGCCTGTAGTGGGAGCCTGGGTGAGCAGGCAAGGTGCCTGCCTGGCAGCCCCAGGCAGGTTGGTGGGATGCACCTCGCTGCTGAGAGGGCTGCATTCACTCTGGGTTACTGCTGTGGTAAGAAACGGGCAAACTGTGGAAAATCAGCGTGTTAACCTATGATTAGGTAAAGGAAAGGATGGTGCTGAAAAGGTAACTACTAAATGGGGAAATACAGCACTGTGGAAACAGGCAATATGATTACCCCACCGGTAAAGCAGTAAGGAAACAAAGAGCTTTTCTCTCCATAACCAAACTCCCAGCAAGATGGCAAAGGAGGCTTTGCGCTTTGAAGTGTGTTAATTAACCTAGCCAGTAGACACCTGTTAGCTTAATTAACTGTTACCATTTCTGTAGACACAATGCCAAAGTAATTAGCCAGCAACTAGATGTGATTTCTCGTGATATATTCAAGTACTACAGTTTGTAAAATTAGACTTTGACTAAGCACAGGAGTGATTTAGAGTTTTTTAGCAAAAATTAAAAACACCAAGACAAATTAACAAAACAGCACGATAATTTGTAACCTTTAAATTGTATTGTGTCATGTGTAACTTAGAACTGAGGCCTGTAGGACTGTAGGCACATCTAGATTGGTTTCTGATGTCTAAGCAGACTAAAGCTGTGTGTAATTATCAAACTTATGAAGTGCCAAAATGGTGACTGTCACAATGCTGTCCACAGAGCACAAAAACAGCGTCAGAACCCCCACTAGCTCCCTCTGTTTCCGAAGAAGAGGATGAAGATGATGAAGAAGAGGAAGATGACAATGAACCTCCACCTGTTATTGCACCACGGCCTGAACACACAAAATCAGTAAGTCTCAGCTTTGGTTAGGACTGTATTTGTATAATTCAGAGCTGCATCTTTCTGATCAGACAGCACTTGCCATTCATGGATGAAGACTCTGGGGGCTGGAGTCCTAACATGACATAGTGCTTCACCCAAGCAACTGACACCAGGAAAATATGTTTTGAACTTTCACATTTAGTTATGATTCTTGTGATTCTGATTCCTGTGATATCTCAGTATCAGATTGTATCTTGTAATGCTACTGGTGTAAAAGTGAGCAGCTTTGTCCAAAGTATCTGTGTAGGCTCTCTGTCATCATTGGGGAGAGTGGTCATCAGATGCAGTTCACACCCTTGCATGATTGAGAAAGTGTCCCCTGGAGGTACCTGTCCCTCTCCACAGACTGTATTAGTAGCTAAATGAATAGCTTAGACTACACCCTTAACTTTGACATGATTGAAGTTTGGTAAAAAGAATCCTGTGCAGCTATGCATTGTAAAGAGAAGGTAGGTCTCTGAAGGACTGGAACGCAGCTCCTAAAGGCCACCCCCTAAAGCTTGAAATAACTGATGAGAAGTCAGTTTGGCAGTTACAATTAGAAAAGGGAAATGCTCCCTGCTTCTATTCAGACATATACCAACTAAAGAGTCAATTTGTTACCCATGAAAACACATGAGCATCAAGGAACAGGGCTCTAGGGCCCTGGACAGATCTAGTTCTGTATCCTTGCAACACAGGAAATTCATTGTTTCAGTCATCTTTCAGAAAATCAATGAAAACTGAAAATGAAATTGGCCATGAACTTGTGTAAAACTAGCCTTTCATTTTTGTCTGTTCAGTTTGAGAAGTGGACAGCAAAAATAAACACAAGAGCTTTGGGTGTAGCAGACAGCATCTTCCTAAGGGTTTGCATTTGAAATATGATCTCAGGGGTATCTCTGCAAGCCATCTTTCTGACACAAAATAATTTCTTGTCACAGATCTACACACGCTCTGTAATTGAACCTGCCGCTGCACCAGCACCAGCTAAAGAAGCCACCACTCCCCAACCTGAAAACTCAAACACAAACACTTTGTACAGAAACACAGACCGGCAGCGAAAAAAATCCAAAATGACAGATGAGGAGATCCTAGAGAAACTGAGTATGTATTCTGTATTTCTTGTCTGATAAAGCAGTGTACTGTATACATGTCTCAGGATTATATGTACCAAATGTTCATCCTCAGTATAGCATCACTTACGACTCCCTACACAAACTGTTATTGTGCTTAGAGGAAGCAAGAGAGTACTCTGGGTATTCATTCTGCCTCTGAGGGCAGCTGTGACTGGGTTGGATTTGCCTGAGTCTCCTTTTCCACTAAAGGCAAAAGCAAGCATTATTTCGGGTTGAGCAGAAGGCCGTGACCTAGTGAACTCCTGCGTGCTAATGGCCAAATTGAACAGAATGTTTTGGTTCCTAAATTCTCTTTAGACTCCTGACTTCTTACCAGTCATTGAAGCCAAAACACTTCACAGAAATCTGTTGGATTTTGGGGTTTTTTTTGCTTGTTTGGTTTGGTTTTGGTTTTAGGTTTTTCTGATCAGTAGACAACTACAGCACTAGACTGATTCCTTCAGCCTCAAGAAGCTCTTCTGCCACAGATATTCTAGTGGTGTCGCATCTATTATTGTTGTTACTACTACTACTACTTCTACTAATAAATCATTGTTCATTTTTATAAGAATTTTACATTTTTGTCAGAGATAACTCCTTTGAAAGAACATCAGTTCACACCATGGATAGTGATGAAGAAAAAATACTTTTCTAACAATCTTTATTTTATTTCTTAGCTTTACGTTTACAAAGATGTATCAAAGAGACACATCTATGTGGCATGATCAGGTAAAACTGCACTGTAAGCATTTCTCAGGAGCCAGCCTCCAGCACATCCACTCTATATTACTCAGATACATAGCACTTTGTCATAGCTAATTCCCAGCCAGTTAATACTATTAGAATCATAACCATTGCCCCCAGACCCCTGTGCCGATCATACTCTAGGAAAGCACATCAAGCCCTTTGTGAATCTGCAGTAGAACCAGTTTAATCTGCTTCTTGCATGTAATAGCTGCCAGTGCTATGTTCTCAGATAATAAATGGCTGGGTTCATAACATAGCCCAATTTACACTGTATCTACCATTAATTGTTAGGGCAAAAAGTGGATTGATCTACACCTCCTTGTGTTTGATCTCAAAGCCAATAATGTTCTCTCTTTAATGGGTGCAGTCTGGCTTCTTCACAGTGGTATCCATGCTTGTTCTGGTGCTATACCAGCATTTTTGTTGTAGCTGCCCTGCCGCTGATGGCTGGTGTGACTGCAGACACTGAAGTCTTCCTTAGCTATGAGATTTCAGCTGCTTGTGTAGAGTTTTCTGCACCCTTAGCAGGTTGACTGGACTATAAACTCAATCTCATTGCCATTAGGGAGTATCCAAGGGCTAAGTTCAATAGCTTTAGCTGAGGGCACAATGAAATAAATTCCAGAGCAGATAGTTACCTTGCCAGGATAAAGGGAGGAATTACAACTTCTTCAACTGAGACTAAATGTTTGACTCGGGCTTCCAGCATGAGATCTGCAAGTACCCTGTGTATGTGGATGTAAGTATGCAATATCATTTATTCAGGCTTCTGTGTATGCCAGATCAGGACTGAGCCCTTGAGTTATTGTGGGTTGTATCTTTGAAATGTTACGTGCTTTCCTGCTTTTTCTTTAAGAATTTGATACCAAGTGAGCAAGGTCTGAAGGTCTGCTTTGGGCAAGTTGTGATGTGGACAATGAAAATCTTTTTGTGCTTTCATGGAGCTATCTGAAAATGGGGGGGATGCTTTTTTGTTATAGTCCTGAGCTAATTGGATTTAAGCATGTGTGGTGGTTGTTTTCTTCTGTTTTCTTTTAACTCATATGATTTCTCCACCTTGCCTACTTCCCCCACAATTGATTTTATGCTACTTTTAGGAAGATGTCCCCTGCTCTTTTATCTTAAATTGCTTTCATAATTATTTTCTGCTTGAAATAGCTCGGGTTATTTTAGAGCCATTTTCATTACAAGTTTTACTAGGGAGTAAAGCCTGTAATATTGAGATAAGATCAAACAAAATTCTGTCTGTAATGAAATCATGAATATGTTCCACTGTAATTATAAAACACAAAGTGGCCCAATTCTGCTTCTTTATCCACTTATTTTAAGACTTGGTAAAAGAAAGTGCTTAAAGAAATCAAAATAGCTGATATGTGTATCTTTTGTCCAGTGTAGGGAGTGATTCTCTGAACTGGAGCCGTGTACCAGTCACTCTGTTGTTCTTAGTGCTGTCATATTTGATGTGCATTGTCTTAAGCATAGGAAGCCAGCCACAAACAACTAACGGTGAAAGCAGCTACTCTAGCATTGAGGAAAAACTCCAGAAATCTGAACTGCAAAATCAATGGCAAATTTGGAAAATTCTCTTTCAAAATATTTGTTTTGCAGTTGTCGTCTTTAGTCTTTTCTAATGTGAACTTCCATGAACTTCTGGTATCTGTTCTGATAGATACACAGTTCCGTTAACTAGCTGAAAATAGCACCTAGCCAGACACGGGGAACAGTGTTTTTCCTGTTGTCCAGCCCAGCACAGGATTAGGGCAATGTTTGTTTAGTAGTACAGAGTCTCAGGAGGATCTCTGTCTGGGGCATGGTTAAGCTCAGCAGTGTGAGCAGGAGGGTATGCTTTCTCATCTCGCATCCCTTCTTCCAGTCAGTTAAAAGGGAGTCCCACGGTCCTCCAGTCATATTCTTCCTGACCGAAGAGTTATTTTGCAGTGGAGACCAAATATAGAGAGGCAGAATGAAAGCTTTATCTTATGTTACATGTTTCAGCAGTGGGCACTAGCTGGCGTTCCTGGAGTTCTGGGTGAGGGGAGTGAGTACCATGGGACAAAGGAAACCTCTTCTCCTGCAGCTTCCATTAGCAACCTTGCCAAGGCCAGCAAAATTGTTTTAGCAGCGAATGTACCAGATGGTGTCGATGCCCCGTGTTCTTGCCGTGCTGGCAGGCAGGATTCCTGGCTAGGCATCCAGTCAGATACCCATTTGGATGTTAAAGCCCCTCTGCTCAACAGAAATGGCCTGGCGAGGGAAGAGAGATGTTTGTTACTGCTTACAGTGAATGATGCATCACCTAGTTCTATTTTGGATGTACAGGTGAACAAATAAGTATGTGTTTGTATTTGTAACACAGGAATATTGCCAGATCAAACAAAATATGCTGCAAAACATTGGAAGTCTTTCCTCTTGAACTAATCCTCTTAAAGTATTTCAGTGACAAGTTAAGTCTTTAGAAGTCATTTGCATTGAGCCATCACCTTAGGCTTCATTGTTTGTGTTTTATCTAGGAAACTACTGGACCGGAAAAAACAAATTTTTTTTTAAAAATTATTTTGTTTTAGTTTATCAGATTTTGGCTCTTTCATTTGACACAAACACAGTATCCTAATTACTGCCTTCTCTTCTTTCTGTTTAGAGTGCCTAAACCTCTGAGTGGGCAACGTGCTGTCAAGCAGTACATGCTTTAATTTTAGCTTTCAGTAGCACTTGAGCTCCACAACGGCAGCTGAACCCAGACTGTCCGATGCCCAGTGCCGGACAGGCTGGCCCTGCCTTCCCGCTGCAGCGCAGAGCTGCCAGGAGGCGGCAGCACCCCGTCTGGCCTGGCTTCTAAATGGCATCACCTGCGCTCATGAAATTATCAGCATCTCATTTGTGCAGCTGTCTGTGTAACACTAGCGCCTGAGGAGCATTGCTGTTCTTGTTATCCACCACGGCTGTGCTTAGTTCTGAAGATAAGCATGTGTGCAGTGTTGAGAGTGCAAGTCAAATACTAGTTGCTGATCCAAGTCAGGTTGAAGACAAGCAGTTTAATTCTTAAAATGACACAAGCGAGGTTGTCTTTGGAACTTGGCCTGGTGATAAATTGAAGAGTCACAGTTCTTAAAGCCCCATAATTATTGATTATAACATGAGATGCTCTTCTTTAAAAACATAAAGGCATTCTTTTGGCAAACTGCTGTAAGGCTGAGAAGATCCCCTCCTGGAAACACTTTGCAATATTCTTCCTGTTCAGAAAATGGCACCTGTTCATAAAAATTGATTCCAGAACCCAAGGTGCTTTTAATCTTCAGAAGTATTAAATCTTCTGTTGAATCACACAGAGTATGTATTCCTAAGAAAATAAAAGCTCTGTTCTTTCAGCTTTCATTGATGTTTATAGACAACAAATACTTGCATTGGTACTTGTTCTTTTCAGACATCTGTCTCCTGTGAATGTTTCTGCATGTTCTTAGTTTCCTGTCAAGGTAACTCTCTAAAGGATTGTAGGAAATCAGTCTTCATAGAGGCCATCTGTGCTACAGAGCTGCCTGTATTGTTGATACCCAACTGATGACAGACAGCTCATAACCCCAGACAGTGGGGCTGCATTTCTCATCTGCTGGAAGGTAGTATCTCCAATTTTTAAGTTAGCACCTTTATTTTGTTTCTTTCAGGGAGCATTGTGAGTGTGGGAGATCCTAAGAAGAAATACACTCGATTTGAAAAAATTGGCCAAGGGTAAGTCAAATCACAGTTACTTATACATGGGCCAGGTAGTTTGCTGCTGGAATATCAAGTGTGAAGTCAGGCAAGCTCCAAACATGTTCAGACTCTGGGTTTAGATTCTTCTGTCTCTCAGTACTGATTAGAATTTGTAACTGTGGTCAGAAGGCATTGTCAAAGACAAGTTAATGCTGGCAATGTCTTGTCTGCAGCAAGGAGCAGGACCTGGAAGATCTACTGTCCCTCAAGTGTGTGGTACCTATTGGCTTATTTTCCTAGGAGAAATCGGTTTTGTGTGTCTCAAAATAATATGGCCATGCTAAAGAAAGGCAAAAAACCCTTTATTGCCAAAAAGAGCAACTTACCACCTGATAGTAATAAAATAACAGTTCTCAATAACATTTCTTTCAAATAGTTTGCTTAAAAAAATACTCAGTGATCAGGAGTATCACCACATAGTTTAGGAACTGAAACCAGAGATTAAAAAATAAGCTCTCTTTTCTAGCAGAGGTAATAAAAACCAAAAATTCAGTAATAAACACAGTGTTGATGCACAAAGTACTTGATGAGAAAATGCATCATTTGCCTAATGACAGACCACTTGTGGATCCTGCAGGTTTTGGGAGTTTACTGAAAATAATCAACCAAGCTATTCCCTTCTGAAACACAACTTTACTTACTGTAAATAGGATTGACTTGAAATATTTCCTATGTGAGGAGGCAATAAAAAAATAAATTACATAAAAATTAGATATCTGACTTGCATTTTAATTATGGGGAGGCTTCCTGTTCTGTCAAAGTTTTCTTGGCTGTATTGTAATTCTAGGAGAGCTAGCGCCATTTGTGTAACACAAGGATCACACTGCTGTCAGTGTGTGACACAAACTGTTTACTGACATCAGAGATACTTTTCTGCCTTAAGTGTTTGTGAAGTTTGAACTCATAGTAGTGTGTTGCTGACCTGGAACTGATATATACTGCAGAAAGCCAGACACACTCATGCTTTTTCTCTGGCACACTTTATCATAGGTATATCTTGTTTGGCAGGGCACTTGTGGGGAGGTGTTTCTGCTCCATTCATTGTATAAACACCCTTTCTCAGATTCCAGCTCACTTTCTACCTGAAGCTTTGGTCCTTACTGTCATTTGTAAAACATCGGTGGACTCTTAGAGCTGTGCCAGTCTCTCAAAAGATAAGCGTGAACTGAAGAAGTGAGAATAAACATGCGTGTGAAGCAGATTATTGCTGTCACCGTGAAAATATGACCATCACCCTCACAATCTTTTATTTTGACAGTCCTAGGAGTGAGCTTGTACAAAGGTGCTTCAACAACTGGTGGAAAGACAAGTGGCTAATATCTGGCCTAAAAGGGTATCTAAAATTGATTTCCTCCAGCTTTTAGTACAACCTGAAGATTGCATGCCCTTCTTACAGAGGAGTGAGTGTGCTGCGTAACCAGCTCATGACTAATGCCACAGGTCAATTTACAGTGATGGGGAAAGATCCTAAAGAAAAAAATCATCACAAAGGTAATCAAACAGGATGATCAGGAGGAACTGTACTGCTGCATGGCTGGGGTTAGCGTGTCTGTCTGCAGCAGGGCTGGGCTGAGATGTCACTGCCTCGGATGGTGCTGATGTGCTTAGTTGATGTAGGTGCCAGTTCCTGAGCTGCCCGCCTTCGCAACGAGTTGGGTACAGTTATGCCAGAGGCACTTGTGGTGTGGGAAGCGAGTAGTTTTTTAGTAGCTGCTAATGAGAGCACCACAAGGCACTAAGAGATGTGGCTGCTTGGAGAACTGCAGATAGAGAGCTACTTATGTAAGGAAAAGCAGCTTGACCAGGACATAGCACTTCATGGCTTCATGCAGCTGGTAAGTTAATAAACAGTGTGATGGTTTTACAGTCACTCTGCAGTGAATGGTAGTCAGCAGGCCCGTGCTGAAGAATAGGTCAGCTTCAGTGCTGAGTCTCTGGTTTGTCATCTCTCTCCAGTTGAGGAAGGAAAATGCTGCTGACACTGGAGGAAACTTACTTAACTAGTTCTTGATAAAAAGGCTATGTTTGTTCAAGCAGTGTTAGCTCTTGCTATGAAGACAAATTAGTATGGAGCCATGAGCAGCCTGGGTTGAGGTTGATTTTTTTAACTTGTACTGCACTGCATCACAGTGACACAGATCTAATTGTGGGTCCTGGTGCTTGCCTAACTGCATTAAAAACAAGATATTACAGAGGCGTTTAAAAGTTAGCTACAGATCAGAAATTATAAATGCTTAGAAGTAAAAGTTCATGCAGAATCGTAGAGCCCTTGCAATTAATTCACAGCTTTACTTAAATTACTCACCTTTATCTAAACTCCTCACAGATGGCCTGGAGCATACCAAAAGCATCGTAATTTAAATAGCTGTTTTTAAATAAACCCTGACAGGACTTTGCTCAGGAGATACAGCACAATGTTAGCAAGTCTGAATAAATGGTGTTGGCTTTTTATGAAAACAAATTGGACTAATCTTGACAATTAGTCATAGGAAAATGCATTTGCATTTATATTAAAAGAATACATAGCGTGCCCAATGAGAACATTGTTCTCAACACAGACGTACAGTCTCTGGTGCCTGTTGAATTAAAATGTGTCAGAAATATTTCAGCCTGCAGGTAAACAAGCAGGCCAGGGGATCATGTAAAAATGAGCAAACTGGTTCTGGCATTTTTAGTCAATGGGACACTTGCTGGATGCGTGTTCCCTCTTCTCAGAATTCCCATTCCATGGGCTTCTTAAGTGATGGCAGCGTAAACCTGTGGTTTAGCTCAGAAGGAAGTCCCATTAGGGTTTACAAGGCCACAGTTGCTTTTAAACCCAAAGGGATTTCCTCTGATAGTGGCCTTTTCTGGCCCTTCACATCATTACAGGGGAAGAACCTCTTTTAATGAGAGGCAGATGGCAAACAAAACCCCACACTACACTGTCTAGTCTGCAGGTGAGCATGCCATTTATTTCTGGTGGCTCTACAACACAACTGATGTCTGCCACAGAAGCAAAACATAGACACCATGAAGAGTCCTTCATGTGTCTGGTGCACCTAACAGAAGCAGCTGCTGGCACACAAAGAAGCTGTTTAAGGATCCTCTGTTTTGAGTAGTTCTCCATTTGTGTGTGAAACAATATATGCCTTAACTTGCTCTAGCTGTGACCTCTCAGGATGGCTGGAGAAAAGTTTCCTTGCATGCTCAGATTTCCTCAGATGGCTGTCACATGTATTCAGGGTTCTCAGAATGATTGCATGGTGTTGCCTGAATTTTGCAGATAGATTCAAATAAGAGGTCTGAGAAGGCACAACTAGACTATGTTACATTCCTTGGGGAAAAAAAACCCTACACACACACACACACACACACACACACACACACACACACACACACACACACACAGAGGGGGGGTGTCGGGGACACAACAAAGCAAAAACAGAGAAAATGGGAAAATAATTAAATGTATTATTTTCCAGTTTTTGTAAACACTTCCACCTTTAAGTTTTTAACTAAAATAATTTAGTATGTATATTTGAGATTTGAACCAGCCCTTTTTCATCATGTTGGACATAAGTTTTATCTTGGATACCCTGCATGGCAGAGGGCTGCTGGCTGAAGGAGTGGGTGAACAAAGGTGTTTTATAAACACTACAGTCAGCAGACATCTCCTGTTTGGGCTTGCTTTCACTCATAGGGACTAAACTGCTTCTCATTTCTTTGCTGCTGTTTTGTTTCTAGGGCATCGGGAACTGTTTATACAGCAATCGACATCGCCACAGGACAAGAGGTAAGCGTCAACAGTCCCAGCAGATTTTGCAGGTATTCAGTGCTTTCCCCACTGGTGTGAACTGTGGATGGGGTTTCCGGGACACAGGTAGATCTTTACTGCAAAGGCTCTTCCTCTGAAGCACAGACTAATGTCAGCTGGCAAAATACATCATCTGCTATCTTCAGCTTTTCAGTGAAAGCTCTTCAAGGGCAATGTGTTTCTGTGCCTCAGTAACTGGACACTTAGGGTGGCCATCCACTTTCTAGCAACCATTACACTGAGATGTTGATTAATGCCTGAAAAGGTGCCTGCAAATTCCTTGGAGGCAGGTCCTGGTCCCCCTGGAATCAGCAACAGCCTTGGTCCTCTCTGCTCGGACTGATAAGGCCAATTGTAATTATTTTTTTACTTACTGTCTTCAGAACAGGTCAGTACTCACCACAGTATTGTTGGTCCCAGCCTGGTGGCATGTTACATCATCCCTGAATGTGTATTTTAATTGAGAGAAACCTGTAAAGAAATCCCAGCAAGCTTTTGGGCCTGTTAAAAACTGTATAATTTTTATTGACAGTGTAAATGTATTGGTTTGAAGTTGTTATATCTCTGTTCCTCAGTGTGCATGAAGTTGTGCTATTACAGAGAGTGTTGGTCTGTATATACAATTTCACTCTCTACATTTGCTGTATAAAATCTGCCTGTGGACCTGTCCATAGATCAGTTAACAATACAAATTGTAAAACCTAGAGATCTGTCATAATGAGAGGTCTCAGGAGAGGTCACGGGGGGGTCACAGATTCCCCTATTGCTGTGAGGAATAAATAGCTTCATTACATCGCCTGATTTCAGACAGACTTTGTCCTTGTTAACTACCAGAAAGAATGTAAGGAGGGTAGCGGTATCTTTCAGAGAAGGACACACTAGCTCTGTCTTTAATTACTAAATACATTAATGCATCAACTAGCTGATGGAGGCTGCTGTCATTCAGTCCCAATTTATTTTAATCACAGGTTCAGACGGTAATATTATTTAGCATTTTTTCTATCATGTGTTTCATCTTCAAAGTATAATGCAAGACCTAATTAAGGAGAGATGATATTTAGGATGTAATTTTCTGGTTTAGTCATACTAAAGCTGGTTGACACACACACTGACAAATGAAAAGATGTCTGTCAAGAGCAAAGTTCTCTCCTAAGCAGTACAGCCACATTTAGGACCATTGTCAGTGACAGCCTATTGCAGGCCATGAACTGGTCACAGGGACGTGGGGGGCAGGAGAGTGAGAAACAAATATTGAAGGAAAGAGGTGTTAACCCTGACAGCCCTTCTAGTGGCCAATTTAAAGTATCATCTTAACATTAATTTCCTTTTCCAAGCCAGAGTTTTTGAATATCATAGAACCATAGAATGGTTTGGGTTGGAAGGGACCTTAAAGATCATCCAGTTCCACCCCCCTGCCAGGGGCAGGGACATCTTCCACTAGCCCATGTTGCTCCAAGCCCCGTCCAACCTGGCCTTGAACCCTGCTAGGGAGGGGGCAGCCACAGCTTCTCTGGATGGCCCATCCCTTCTCTCCAGCGTGTGATCGCACCACACAGGTTGTGTCGTTGGTGAACTTGCTGAGGGTACCTCGATCCCACTGTCCCATGTTGCCAAGAAGGATGTTAAACAGGCACCGGTCCCAACACCAGCCCCTGAGGAATGGCACTCATCACTGTTCTCCGCTTGGACATCAAGCCGTTGACCTCAGCTCTGAGCGTGACCATCCAGCCAATTCCTCATCCACTGAATGGTCCATCTGTCAAATCCATGTGTCTCCAATTTAGGGACAAGGATGTCTCGTGGGACAGCGTCAAATGCTTTGCACAAGTCCAGTTTGATGATGTCAGTTGCTTTCCTTTATCCACCAGTGCTGTAACATAATATGTAATATATACAAACTCTGCCTGAAAATCTAGCTAGAAAACCAGGAGTGAGGGCAGAGGGGTGTTCTCTTTCATGCTGTGTCAAGAGCAGGACTAGACAGAGGGAGAGGCTGGCCAAATTGCATATGGCAGGAACAAGAGGCAGACAAGGTACATGTTGGGTTGGAGGGCTGTCCTGGGACTGCTGGGGAAGATGTATTTGTAGGAGTCCTTGGCCAGAGCTGAGCTGGATGGCAGCTAGGGAAGCAGGGCTGAGCCCAGAGGGATGGGGCTGGCAGAAGCAGGCTCAGCAAGGAGGCCAGGATGAAAAACAAGTGGAGACTGGCTTCCTGGGGGAAGATGGGACTTGGCAGTGGGGCCAGGATGAGGCAGCAGCAGGATGGCTACAAGGTTTCAGAGCCAAAGCGATCATATTACTGATAAACAGACAAGGTGGTGCCTTAGAGAATCCCTTTGCTCTTTGGGGCTACAGTTTAAGATTACTGATTTATCATTTCTGGCTGTCAGCAAATAAATCTGAATCTTACTGGTAGTTTCTCATTCACCTGCAGTGCTGCACTGTGTAACTGCCCTTAGATGGAGGTCTGCAAGGGATCTAAAAGCCCTAAACCTGCTTGTAACCCGAGATGTATCCATAAAATACCACAGAATAGATTATCCTTTTTAAATAACTGCAAATCTAAACTGTGTTAAAGAATGTTATTTAGAGTTGCAAAATCAAAATTCAGGAAGTTAGGAAGTGTTAGCATTGGACTTTTTTTGTTAACCTTGATCTTTTTAGTACAGCATTTTATACATAATGTCCATGTGTGTTTTCTTTCAGTTATGCAATCAAGTCAAGAATAACAGCAGTTGCTGGAATAATGATCAAAAATCATATAATTGCTAAAGTATTACCAGCTGGTTTTATATATGTTCACAGTAACAAAATCACATCCTGCTTGCAAAGCGTGCATGAATAATAATAGTGGTGATAAACTAAGGCCATTTGAGAAGAATGTAGGTCCAGAGAGTGTTGTTAGAGATTTGTGGTTGATAACTTAGACCATTTTTACAGATTTTACAACGCATAATGTATATGGCCATGTGTCCTGTAACGAGCACCCAAGCTAGCAGAGAAATAGGGTGTTGTAATGTAAGTTACTGAGCTCTTATATCTAATAACAAGACAGTTTGGCACAACTCTACTACATCATTCCACAAACACTCACTCCATGTTCATTTTGATCACATGCAACAGACAACCCAAGTTAATGATTCTCAATGTCATTTTAGGTGGCCATAAAGCAAATGAATCTCCAACAACAGCCCAAAAAGGAACTAATTATTAATGAAATTCTGGTCATGAGGGAAAATAAGAACCCCAATATTGTTAACTATTTAGACAGGTGAGTAGTTCTAGTATTTTCATGTGAATGTTCGTTTACATACTGCAAGCCAAAGATCTAAAAAAACCTTTGGTCACTGGCAGAAAATTGACCTCTTTGTTATTCATCTGCTCATATGCAGTGCACGAGAGGAGATTTCATTTTGTCAGCATTAATCTTTGTGGCATATATAGTTTGAAGACTGTTTTCAAAAACCAAGATCAGCCATATTTTACTAAAACAACAGCCTGTAAATCCACTACCTCCATGTTTGTTTGGATTTTTTTTTTATTTGTTCATGTCTTCTGTGTCTTATGATAAGTGCTGATAAACCATCATAGAAATTATTTCCCTTGGGCCGTTCCCACTATTTTCCATTGCTGTGGATGCCAGGAAAATGAGATTCTTGATTCCAGAAACACATAATTTGCCAGTTTTTAAATTGTTTTTCCCGTTTCTGAATGTATTTTATGTAAGGTTTTCCAAACTGTTGACCAATTTCTGTCCTCAGTGGTACACACCATCTGACCATGGACAACTATGAAAGTTGTGTTGCCTTGTTCCTGGAGTTAATCATGGAATTTATGTGCTAAGATGATGTACCAGATGATGTGATATGTCCTGTTTGAGATTTATCTTTGCTGTTACTAAACTGCTTTTTTCACTTGCTTGCCATCTATGATGTCTTAATTTTTCACTTACGTGCCTTTCTCATTTAGACTGCACAGATTCTAAGAACTGTATAGCCTAGAAGGAATGTCTCTTCATTTATTCTGTCTTAATTTAAAAATGACCTGGAAACGATCAACTGTAGTCTTTTTCATAAAGTAATTCAGCTGTGCACATTCATCTCAATGCCATTGTTTTCTTTTTTCAGCTACCTAGTTGGTGATGAACTCTGGGTGGTTATGGAATACTTGGCTGGAGGCTCTTTAACCGATGTTGTTACAGAGACATGCATGGATGAAGGACAGATAGCAGCTGTCTGTAGGGAGGTAAGGGATCCCACGTGTGCTCCCGTTCATTTGGACAGGATGGTACTTACTATACTCTGTTGTTATACTCTTCTATACTGTTATTGTACTCTTTTACTATTCTGAACTTTGCCTCTTTAAACATTTGCCTGGAGCATGCCTGTACTGCATTCCTTGCCTGTAAAAGCAAACATGCTGGTGGCAGAATTTTAAAGTAACAGCAAAGAAAAATAGAGATTGATTTATCGCAGTCATCAGCTTAAAAGGATATAATTCCACCCAATATGGTGTTTGCTTCTGAAAAATTACTAACATGCTATTTTCAAATCTGCTGTAGAGCCTAACAATAAAATCTTTGTCATACAACCTCCCACCCGAAAGTGATCCACTTCATACCAAAGGAAGGGACTGCTTCTTTTTTGGCAAACAATAGTTTGTCATGTGGACTGCAGCAGCAGTCATTCTCTATGTGCTTTGAGGGGATAGTCTATAACAATCATTGACATTTCTCTTTCAAAAACTTAATATGACTTCATTTAGAAAGTTAGTACTCTAATAGTGTTGAAGCAGCAAGGTATTGTTCTTGACAGCACAATATTCTGCCATTACTCACAACTCATCTAGAAATTAAATCTTTTAGACCCACTTCCTTTCTTGTGTGATTAAATCAGGTCTTAATTTTTACCCTCGTGTTTCTTTTTTACCTGTCAGTGCCTGCAAGCACTGGATTTCCTTCATTCAAACCAAGTGATCCACAGAGACATCAAAAGTGACAATATTCTTCTCGGAATGGATGGATCTGTCAAATTGAGTAGGTATTCTTGGTCAGGCGCAGCATTCCCAGGATGTGGTGTGGGGCTGCATTTGACTGACTGCCAGTTACCCAAAAGTGATACCTGTGGTAGTACACTGACCACTGCTGCAAGCTAAGAGCTCAATTCCAGCGTGCAGAGAGGTATAGAAAGGAAAAAGGTGTAAAGAGTGGCATTGGTTTATGTATGTCCCTTCCAGAGGGAGGGAGTTACAATCTAAAGCTTCAAGTGAATAAAAGCCACTGCACAAAACTTGAGGGGGTTTTTAAGTGACCAGTATTTCCTTGGCTACAGCACTGAGTGAACAGAGCATGGCCACTTTTCAAGATGCTACAAGGCATTCTCAGGCATTTAGTGGGGATTTCTTTTGCTTATTTTCATAATTCAAGCTGACTTTAACAGTACTTGCTTTTTTCCTCAGCTGATTTTGGCTTCTGTGCTCAGATCACCCCTGAGCAGAGTAAACGGAGCACAATGGTCGGGACTCCTTACTGGATGGCACCAGAAGTGGTGACAAGAAAAGCATACGGCCCCAAAGTGGACATCTGGTCACTTGGGATCATGGCAATAGAAATGGTGGAAGGAGAACCTCCTTACCTTAATGAAAATCCTCTCAGGGTAAGGTGCAAATAAAATCAGATACCGCTGTCACATACTTTGTCTTCCATCAGACAAAATCCCAGTCACATCAGCTTGAACTTGTTCCACCAAGGCCTGCCTCTGATAAGGTCACTGGAGCATATCAGCATATACTGTAGCTTTGGTTACATCAGTGGGAGGACCTCAAAAGAAAAGTGACATGTAGCATTCAGAAATATGCCATTTTTGCTTTCAATGATGCTTGAAATTTCTCGTATAGTTTTTGAACTGTCTTTGAGCTGTACTCCTGAATGACAAGAATTCTTCAGCAGCAAGTTTCTTTAATTGGGGAATTTTTATGAAAAACATTTCAACTGTATCTGCAGAGAGAGAACTGTTTTCAAACTCTGATCAGTGCTGATTGCTTACCCGAGCCTTTCAGGAATTGTCACTGGTTATAGTAATGCCATAATTATTTATTATCAAATACATTTCTAAAAGTGTGTTTTAGTACAGGTACTTGTAGTAAAATAATGTATTTTTAATGTTTTGAAATTTTTAGTTTTATCCTAATTCCTTAAAATGAAGTGACCAGTTCTAATGCCAAATGAATGTGTAATAGTGGAGAAATGTATACCAAGATAAAACCTCATGACTGATAGCTGAAACAAAGTTTAATACTGCACAGTTAATTCCTTATAGGATGCAAGAATATATGAGGAAATTATTTTTGACTTATGTGTATACATACATATTCTTTGTTAAGGCTAGAATTAAAATAGAGCATAACATGTAGCTTTTCTCATAGCTTTAAGGCTGCACTCTGTCTGGTCTGTGGCACCCAGGCTGCATATTGCAGAATGAAAGAAGAAATAACGGAATGGTCAGGAAATATCTGAACTTCAGTCTTCCACTCTTTTTGAAAAATGGTTCCTGAGTTTTGATAGGTGCCCTAGGATTTTTGGTTCCAGTGCACCCTTCATAAGGGGAAATAAGAAAGAAATGGGTTGAAACAGGTTTGGATTCAGAGTGATGCTGAATAAGCCATGGCTGGCAGGGTGGCAGTGGGCCTGTGTCACTGCAGCCCAGTTTTCCCCGCAGAGACTTTTGTGCATCGCTAGTTTTGCGTCAGTTTCCTGCAACGAGAGGACCCCATATTCCACTTGCCTCTATGGAAGACCCTTGCAAAAAAATGCATTTAGCTTGTATAAGGCAGCAAAAACAGATGAAGAGAATTAGCATTTGTGGTCTGGATGCTGAAAATTCCCTGCTTCCTTAACCTCAGATGTTGACTGGGGCTTCTCAAGAAGCCTCAGGTCAACTTTTGAAAAGATAACTGGATTTCTTATCTCTGACCAAATTCACATTCAGCCATTCCTGCCCTTACTCAGATGATTTGAGATGCTCTTTGTCTTCATACATGCCTCATCTCCTGCTGGAGTTAAGATCACCTTGAACACTTAGAGCTTCAAAACATCTTCAGGTGTCTGAGTAAAATTGCAGTAGGTTAAAATCAGGCACCTGAAGTTGGTACCATCTGTATTTGCTTCCTGGATTCTTTTTCAGAGGTTGTTGCCCCTGAGCTAGAAACGACAAAAAGCTTGTGATGGACCACCTGAAGTTCCCGAGTTATCAGCTAGTTTTATTAGGTAAATCAACCCCAACAGGGACAGGATCCATCTGCTGCTTTATGTGGAATCAGAGACTTCAGTGAGAGATCTCAGCTGCATCCAAACAGGAGAGCTTATAAGCAAGACATGTTTTTGCAGTTAAGTTTTTTAGCTGATAGCACACAGCAGTTGTTGGGTTTAATAGTCACACTTGGAGCACATTCAGGAAATTCTGCAAAACCTGGAAGCTAAAGGATGCTCTTTTATTTTTATGAATGATTGTCTTAATAATGGAAAGCATACAGAAGCTTCAGTTATGGACACTAATTTAAATACTTAAATAAATTATAAGGGCATTAAAGGATCATTAATCATAGAATTAACAGCAGTCTTAATGTAGATGCATTTGTTGTTTTCCACGTGTAGACAAAATGCATCCCAGGCTTTCCAGCCTATGCAGAACTCACAGGAATGAACTGTTTTCCAGCCACGAGTGTCCTGGATATTTCTCTGATGGTACTCGTTTTCTCTCACTGCAATTTCCTTCCATCAGGCATATGCCTAGGGCCCGAGGGACAAACATTGGTGCAATATATATCCTTTGAAATGCAAGTTGGACCTCCCCAGTTTCAATTTAAAAAAAAAATACAACAAACATTTCTGTTTGCTTATTCATTTATTAACCACAGCACATCAATTTTCCTCAAAACTGTAGCATATTTTCCAAATGCTGTGGATCTTCTACAGTTTCAGGCTTCTAAATCATCTGTATATTCTTCTGTCATGTATCTGGGTGGCCTGGATAACTTCAGGATATCATTTTCACAGACTGCAGCTGTAATTGTATGCCGAATCCTTTCTTGTTTCTTGGTATGTTAAACAAATTAATGAGTTTATTGCCCCTTTGCAGCTACTGCAAACACTCATTTCCTTTGTACTGTACTTGTTTTTCTTTTCTGGCTCTATCATAGGAAACCAAAAGATACATGATAAGAAGGTACTTCAACTTCCCATAGACGTTCTTCTGTTGTAGTAGAAGTATTTAGAAGGTGCAGTACCTAGCTAAAGATGACTTTTCCTCATGATTCATGTTCTGTGAAGAAACAAGGGACTAAAAGAGCTCCATTTGTTCTGGGACTCTGTTTCACAGTCAGGTGAATGTAGCTGGAATAAAATCTCCAAGGTTGAACATGGGTGCTGTATACCGCAGAAGTAACATCTCTCAGGTAGCACAATTTAAACACAGTGAGGACAGGCACTCCAGCTCACCACTGTGTCTTGTGGCTGAGGTCAGCTGTAGATGGACAGGATAATTGATTTTGTGACGTTTACATTGTGGGAAAAGTAAAGAAACTTCCTTTTATTGTTTTTACTATAGGATAGTTCATTTTCCTTTTTAGGCTTGGAAATTTTCCTCTGTATTTAAGAGGATAATAACAAAGTCAATTCTATTTAAATGCCAGTAGTGCAGAGCTGTTATTATCATGGCAGACATTTTTATGGAAGACTCCTAGACGTATTTCTATTATTACTACTGTATATTTTAGACATCTGCAAGTTTAAGTTTGAATAGTTCAAAATGTTTACGTTTCTACATAACATCTTGCAAAAGCAGAATGAACTCATCTCTCTAGCTTCTCAGCATGTTAAGACCTTGGTTACAAGTGAACACTCACTCTGTGTTTTGCAAAATTACATTATAAATCCTTGGCCTGAGAAATATTGGGAAGACTTGCTAAGCTGCATGAGTGCTGTCAGCTGCACGGAAGTGAGCATCCTTGGCTTTTCATAAGAAACTTAAGCTTAGCTTAGACTAGATGCTTTGCAGGAGGAGAAAAGCTGGAATTTTCAGGTGTTTGGACAGGCCTGTGTGCACAAGACTGACTGTGCATTCAGATGAGCAGCCAGATGTTTATTCACATCATGGAAGGGAATTCACAGAGGACTCAACCCTTAACACAGACAAATACTCCCAATTCTCAGGTAACACTTTGCTTTGGGTTTTAAGTTGTTCCAGCTCTTCTGTCTGTGAAGATGACCCTGAAAACATGAAACAAATGTAATAATCTTATCTTTCCTAAAAAAAACCCAAACTTTTCTAAAACAGTGGTTTTAAGAGATGGACATTTCTCACTGGGAAGCTTGTGTGAAACATGAAGATTATGGTTTAAAGGCAGCATAGTATATTCTGCTTCTTGTCTGTTTTTTCTGAAATACTTAGTGAACATATTTCTTTCATAGTCCAAGCCACTTTCTCCATGTCACCAAGCCTGAGCTTTCAATAGACAAACTGCCAAAACCTCCCATTTCTTTCCTGGCAATTTCTGGGATGGGGACATCATTAATGTAGTTACTTGAGTATCAGAATTAGCATGAAATTACCATAGGGATGGAATTACTAATTTTTCTGATTAGACCATTAAAAGTTTTTCATTTTACCACATAAATGAAGCCAATCTGGAATTTGGAGGCTGCTGAAAGACATAGTTGCAGGTGGCTCCTATCTGCCCAGTTATACATTTTCTTCGTAATGTATTTGTGCATGCAACTTACATGTCTGTGTTGAAAATGAGGTTCCAAATGTTTCTGTTTCTTTATCCAAGGAATAAGATGATGGATTTACTTTTTTCATCTGGTTACCATTTTTTTATCAAGAACAGAGCAAAAAACTTTTACTGTGGTTTTATGGGAGCTGCACTTTAGGGACCAGTGAGCACTGTGGAGATGGATTTTATGTAATAATCCTTTGAAATAATATAGATAGACTAAATTCACTCTTTAAAATAGGATGTAAAGCTAGTGTCAATACTTGGAGAAGCAAAATGTGCTTTTGCTGATGTAGTTCATACTAACTAGGTCAGCCAATGAAATCAGCTGTCAAGGCAAAGATCATTTTGATGTTGGAATAGCTGTGGCTGCACCAGGGCGCTTTTTTCCATAAAAAATGGGGTCTATATAAGCAGTTTTGAATACAAACAAAACAGGTGGAGTCTTGTGTTTTCTTTTTCTCTAGGCGCTGTATCTGATAGCTACGAATGGGACACCAGAGCTGCAGAATCCCGAGCGACTGTCCGCTGTGTTTCGTGACTTTCTGAACTGCTGCCTGGAGATGGACGTGGACAGGCGAGGGTCTGCCAAGGAACTTCTGCAGGTAAAATGTGAAGTGACTGCAAGTAAAACAACTGTACTGTGTTAACAGCTTTGTCATCAGCTAAACTTGAAGGCATAGGATGGAATCCCCTCATGTTAGTCTCCAGACTTGGTGCTTTTCAAGTAAACAATAAGCTAGAATCACAGAATGGTTTGGGTTGGAAGGGACCTTTAAAGGTCATCTGGTCCCACCCCCCTGCAATGAGCAGGGACATCTTCAATGAGATCAGGTTGCTCAGAGCCCTGACCAACCTGGCTTTGAATGTTTTCAGGGAGGGGGCATCTATAACCTCTCTTGGCAACTTGTGCTGGTGTTTCACCACCCTCATCATAAAAAATTTCTTCCTTAGATCTAGTCTGAGTCTACAGGCTTCTAGTTTAAAACCATCAGCCCCTCTCCTATCACAACAAGCCCTACTAAAAAGTCTGTTCCCACCTTTCTTCAAAGCCCCCTTCAAGTACTGAGAGGCTGCAGTAAGGTCTCTGTGGAGCCTTCTGTTCTCCAGGCTGAACAACCCCAACTCTCTCAGCCTGTCCTCACTGCAGGGGTATTCCAGCACTCTGATAGTTTTTGTGGGCCTATTTTGTATTTTGGTAGTATATTCGGTTTTACATGGTGGCAAAATAACTGAAATGGAATGATGCCAGGTACAGAGGCCTGAAATGGTGTTGGTGACTACTGTATACAGAGATATGACCTGGAAGGAACCCAGTGAAATCAGTCACAGCCACATGGTCAGAGATTTGGCACTGTGAGCATAAGAGCTTGTCCATCCTGCCCCACTCTTGGAGGGTTCTGCCACTGAGCCCTGCTTTTAGATGTTTCTGCCACCGAAACAGGGACAGCTGAGTGGGACTTGTCACAGCTCCATTTACTGCCTGCTACATTTATATGGATGAGAAGTTCTACAGGTTTGCTGCCAGGTTTTGTGGCAGATAGGGAGTTGCAGCATGTGACACTTGGCTGTCCCTGCTGCCAAGGTGCCAGCCAGCACAGGAGGGGCAGGGGATGGGGTGGTAGACACTGCTCTCACTGCAGCCCAGAGGTTAGTCCATCAGCGCCCTGTCACTTCTCTCCCTGGTTTTCTCTTGGTGCTGGAAACCTGTACCTCAGTGGCCTTCAGAACAAGACATGGGCCTAAATACTACTAGGATAAACATTTCCTAGAAGTATTGGAGTTCCCTGGGGAATGGTTTATGTCCCTCATCTTTTCTGACAAGTAAAACAGCCCATGTCTAGAAAACAGGAACCTAAGTATTTTAACTTTCCTGAAAGGAACAAGACCTTGTGACAGCAAGCAGCATTCCCAGAGCAAGGCAAAACTCCCAGCAAGCTGAAGACACCTTGAGAAATTATTAATAGGATTATGGGACAGCAAGGCACTGGGAATGAAGATGCAGGTGCAGATGGTCCTATCAGTCCTATTTCTGTGTATTCCTGGTAACCAGAGGAATGTTGCTTGAGCCTGAGTTTGGAAAGTAATGGTGCATTTCTTTTCTTTCTTTGGGCAGCATCCATTTTTAAAATTAGCCAAGCCTCTCTCCAGCCTGACTCCTCTGATCATTGCAGCAAAGGAAGCGATTAAGAACAGCAGCCGCTAGCGCTTCAGGCCGGCTTTCTCCCATGCCAGCTCAGAGCAGGACTGAGAACAAAAACTCTATGAAACCTCAACTCTTGTGCTGCAGGACGGATGGATGGATGGATGGATGAACAAACCAACAGTCACAGTCATGGTGGTAGGAGGGAGAACAACCCAGTCCCTCAAGGAGTAAAAAATTATCATTTGTCTTCTTCCTGCTTTCTGGCTCCTTAATTTATTTTTAAGATGAAACAGGGCTTAAGACAGAAGTAATGACCGAAAACGCTTTGCTGCCTCAACCATTTCCAAGGTAAAGCAAATTCAGTTGGAAGATTCCCTTCCTTCTCGCCTTGTGAATAAGCTGTACATTCACTTTTTAATTGTCAGTTGTTTCTTAAAGATGGAAAGTCCCTTTTATGTTTTTTTTTTTTGTATGGTTTGGAATTGGAGAAGGGTCTCCGTTATTCATAAGCTCTAGACTGCACTGCCTTTTGAATACAGCCTACTCGCTGGTATTTGCCCAGTCATGGTACTTCTAGATGAGGAAGAAAGTGAAATTACATTTCCAACCAAAAACGAATCGAGAGTGGGCAGATAAAACATCCTGTTCAGATACAGGCTTTCAACTGTGAATATATAGTGTTTCAGTTCTTGACAATTTGGTTTGTATAGCTAATTGTAATCTGTTTGCCTGGATGAGAGTCTTACTAAAATGAAAAAGCAGAAAGTTCAGTCAGTGTGCTCAGAAAGGGTTTGTCTGATGCAAAGCTGTAAGAGAAATGTGAGGTGAGAGTGGGCCCAGCCTTGCCTGGTGCCGAGCCTCAGCAGACCCCTTGCAGAGCACAGAGCAGCCTCAGCATCCGCAGACCCAGGCTGGGAGAAGGCGCAGACTGGCACTGGGTGCTTGCCTCTTCCTGGGACCAGACTAACCATCCCGTATCAGAGCCAGACTGGCACTGGGCTGCTCCCGAGGTCAGTCGTAGCCATGCTGTGAAATGCATGGACTGATGGGATTAGCCCTCCTGAGTCTGTGCAGGAGTAGAGAAGGGCAAAACAGAGTAGAGTGGTGTTGTCACTTCGGAGGATGCCTACTTCCTGGTCATCTTGTAGCTCCTGGGAAAGGTCAGTAGTGACTGCGCCGGTCTTGGCAGAGGGGGAGGGAGCCGGGCTGCTCCCTAGGCTTGTGCGCAGGTGAGTGTCCTTCAGGCACACAACGTCTGCCATGGAAACTGAGCCCGACACGAGTGAGTGATGACTTCCGCACTTCAGATATGCATGAGCCAGTGCAGCAGACAGCTCTAGCAGAAAGCACGTTAAAACCTGAATTCTGCACTGAGCAAGAGCAAATGTGTGAAATGCAGAGTGGATTGCAGAAATATTTAGAGGCATCAAGCCAGCCTGCTTTCTGCTGTCCAGCTTACACCAAGCACCGCTGAATGCAGCTCTGAGTTGCTGGGTGGGAGGGAATCCTGGATGTAACTGAGTATTGTGCTTGACTAGTCAACTCGTTTGTAAGGGAGCAGAAGAGTTTTAAGTATGCAATTTGTGGTTTATTTATTCATTTCTGAAAGAAAGACACAATGTGGCTACACTCAGAAAAAGCATTTGCATGGTGTATTTGTTGTATTTAGTAGTACAACTAATCAAAGACCTTCAAAACAGCAACTGAAGCAACACCCACCCAGTGAGCAAAAAACCCCAAAAAAAACAAAAACAGCTTTCTGCTGTAGATCTTCATGTTTAGGCCTAGTCCTACAAAGGGCTAATTAGCCTTTAAGGTACTAATCACCTTCATGTTTTGTCAGTAGGAATAAAGGATGCTTGGGCTATTCTTGAATTAGGCCATTAGCTTGTTTGGCTTTGGCTTCTTACTTAGTTACAGTCTTTGTGTTGTAACTGTCATTAATACTGCCAGCTAACCTACCCTCGCTCACTCTGGCCATCCCTGTGTCTGGCTGAGGCAGCAGACAGAGGTAGTGCTCTCTTGAGTTACCACAGCTAAGTATGAATTAACCTTTCCTGATTTCCTGGGGAGCACAACGGGTCTGATTTCCAGATGCCCAGATAACATGCCGAGGTGAGCAGCTCTGGTTTCCCGAACCGGGGGAACCTCGAGGGGAGCTGCCAGGAGCCCACAGCTCGCACCACTGCAGCTGAGGAGACTGGGGCCAAAAGCAACGACAGCCAAGTCCTACCTGCTTATAAACAAACCCACGGGGAGCGTGATTGACTAGTGCGGGCAAACAGCACATCACATCAGCAAGAGACTACAGGAATCACACCCCACCTTCCCCAAGACAGGCCTGACAGGCAGACAGGACGCACAACACAGAGGATTCCCTGTCCTCTCTCCACCTGGCTGAACACAGTGACTTAAGGGACAGGGAGCAATGACAACAAGTTCCTCTCGGTGCAGCAGACACGTCTCCTCTGTGACCGCCCCTCCTGCCCTGGTGCCCTTGTATAATAGGTATGAGGCTCTGCAAGTGGAACTGAGCAGTCACAAGGACAAAGGTTCTTCTAGCTTGGAGGTGTCACCGAGGATAGGTCGGCCTACGCACTGCATCAAAACAGCTCCCATAAATAAAAAAGGTGGGTCATTGTCATAGGAAACTCTTCTGAGGGGAACAGAAGGCCCAATATGCCAACCGGACCCACTTCTTAGGGAAGTCTGCTGCCTCCCTCTGACCCAGGTTAAAGATGTGAAGAGAAGACTTCCTACCCTGGTACAGCCCTCAGATTATTATCCATTATTGATTTTCAGGTAGGCAGCGATGAAGTTGCATCAAGAAGTCCCAGGGCAATCGAGAGACTTCAGAGCCTTGGGATGAATGGCTAAGGGATCAGGAGCACAAGCAGTGTTCCCCTCTGTCCTTCCAGTTGCACAGAATGATGTGGGGAGAAACAGGAAGAACTGTCAGATCAATATCTGGCTCCGAGCCTAGTGTCACCAGCAGAATTTTGGGGGTTTTGATCATGGGTTGGTTTACATGACACCAGGCCTGCTGGGGACAGACAGGGTATACCTGTCTCAAACAGGGGACAGGATCTTTGCGCAGGAGTTAGCAGGGCTCACTGAAAGAGCTTTAAACCAGATTTGAAGGGAGAAAAGGATAAAACTAGGCTTGCTAGAGATAAGTATGGGGGCAGCATGCCAGTGTTTGAGGGATAGTGTGCTAGCAAGGTCCTTCAGTCTACCTTGTCAGTGGAGGTAGGGGATGGAGAGCTGTGCAACAGCAGAGATGCGAGGGTTATTGATGTTCTCAGAAGTGCCTCAGAATGGTCACATAGGAATCAGGGCTTCTCCCCCCCAAAAGGTGGCAGGATAATAGCACAATTGAAGTGCATTTATGCCAATACACGCAGCATGGGCAACAAACAGGAGGAGCTGGAAGCCATTGTGCAGCAGGAGAACTATGATATGGCTGCTATCACAGAAACATGATGGGAAGGCTCACGCAACTGGAGTGCTGCAGTGGTTGGCTATAAACTCTTCAGAAGGGCTAGGCAAGGAAGGAGAGGCGGTGGGGCAGCTCTGTATGTTAGGGAGTGTTTTGACTGTCTAGAGCTTAATGATGGTGTGACAACAGGGTTGTTCATGGGTAAGAATCAGGGGAAAGGCCAACAAAGCAGATATCATAGTGGGAGTCTGTTACAGACCACCCAGCCAGGATGAAGAGGCAGATGAAATATTCTATAAGCAGCTGGGAGAAGTCTCACAGTCACTAGCCCTTGGTCTTGTGTCTTACCACACATCTGCTGAAAATGAAATACAGCAGCAAGGAAACAGTCCAGGAGGTTCCTGCAGTGTGTGGAAGATGGCTCCCTCACAAGCTGTGTCAGGAAGCTAACTAGAGAGGGTGCCCCATTGGACCTGTTGTCTGTGAACAGAGAAGGACTTGTGGGTGATGTGATGGTTGGAGGCTGTCTTGGGCACAACAAAGAGTTTTCAGTTCTTGGAGAAGTAAGGAGAGGGGTCAGCAGAACTGCCACCTGGGAGTTCCAGAGGGCAGACTTTGGCCTGTTTAGGAGCCTGGTTGCTAGAGTCCCTGGGAAGGCAAAGGAGTCCAGGAAGGCTGGACATTATTTACAAAGGAAATCTTAAAGGTGGGGAGCAGGCCATCCCCATGGAAGATGAGCCAGAGGGGAAGAATGGCCTGGCTGAACAGAGAGCTTTGGCTGGAACTCAGGAAAAAAAAGAGTTTATGACCTTTAGAGGAAGGGGCAGGCAACTCAGGAGGAATACAAGGATGGTTATGAGGTTATGCAGGGAGAAAATTAGAAGGACCAAAGCCCAACTAGAACTTAATCTGGCGACTGCTGTTGCTGTTTTTTTTGTGAGGTCCCATTTTTCTGTCAGCTCAAGCTAGCTATCTGGGGGAGAGACTTTCAGAAGAGAGTAATCTGGGCTTGAGATGGGCTGCCCTCAATTTGTAAAGCATTCATCTGAATGAAACATGTTTGTATTCCATGTAAGAAGTGAAGAAACAAGTGACAGTTTCTGTTTCTAGCATAGCTTTTATTTTTTCCTACCCACAAAGAACAGACAGCCGTCCTTTAAAAGGAAAGCACTTTTTTATGGTACATGTTTGCTGGACATACAATATAAATCCTTGTTAACAGACTATACTATTTGATTGGGGGTTTTCCTATTTATTTTCTTTACCTGTAAGTATTTCAGCATCTCCACTTTAAAAAAAACAAAAAAGCACCACCACAACTTTCCAGAAGATAACAGATATGAAAAATAGGAACATGAAATGGTAGCTTTTAAAAAAAAAAAAACCAAAAAACAGATCAAAGTATGCCCGAGCATACAGAATATTGTTAGCACTGGCTTTTTAAAGACAACTGCTGTAATAAGAGGCCTTACTTTTTATTTTATTAAATGCTATATTTATTTTTCTTTGCGTCAGCAAATCTAGAGATCTTTCTTCTAAAAAAAGTTCCTGGGAGGCAGACAGGATTCAACAGAAATAATCTGTGCCAGTGGCTGTTTTCAACATGGACTGTAATTGCCCAGCAGAGACTGTTTGACACGCAGGGAAACACACCTCTAGCATCCCTCTGGCTCTGTGCTTGAGACAGTCTCTGGCACTAAATTCTTAGTCACTAGATACTGAAAGATGTCAGCTGAGTTTATGTCCTCCCAACTCTGATAGGAAATGTGGAAGAGGCATATTAATATATTAAAACAAAAACAACAGTCCCGAGAGGGGCAAGTCCTGTACATTATTTAGAGCTCACATAGTATGTTACGACTGACAATAGTGTTGAACTTACAGAAAGGAAAGAGATGAATACTATAAAATCTCTGGAACCATCTTGGGTTTTTTGACTGCTATCCTCAGATTAAGCAATTAGTTACATATTTTTGGAAGTATTAGAAATAGGCCATTTCTGTTGCAAAATACATAGGTAGGTAGATTTCAAACACTTTCATTCCAAGATTTTTTTAAAATTGGCTGTTTTCATTTTTAAATTCATTAAACAGTAAAAAATACCTATCCAGAGCTTGACTATGATTCCCATCCCTGCAATGAAGATGTGTGAGAACGACCTGATAGCACGCTGTGGTTTTAATGTGTTTTGGGACAGAAGCATGACAGCAGTAAAGTCAGGGAAGTTTGAGAAGCACAGAAAAGTTTATTTATTTAAGAAAAAAGAAAAAAAAGGGGAAGAAAAAAAAAAAACCATACCTATGTACAATGCCATACAGCTCTTGCATGCACTCCTGGGAGCCTGCACAGGGGTGAATCTTAAAGTGCTCTTGGGGTTTGATCACAAACTCGGGCCGGGGTTGCATTCTCACTTCTTGTGTCCAGCACTTTTGTAAATATGTGTGTGTTTATTCTCTATCTTTGGCTACTGGTTGGCCGACTCACACTACACAAAAATGAACTCAAGTATTTTTTTTAGCTGCTTGTGCTGAGTTTCCTAGAGGCCAGTGGCTACACCTCGGCAGGTCTTTTGGTCAGTCTCCCCCCATGTCCTGCCACCAAAAATGAAGTGCATTCCAGTCATCACAAGAAGGGAAGTAAGTACCTGTCTCCTGTCCTCTAGTTGTAGGAAATGTCACCATACCCTATTGTCTGTATGGCAGTTCTTTCCAGTATATAGTCATCGGTGTGGCTGCTGAATATTCCTCACACCAAGCATGTAAACACATTTATGTATTAGTCCAGTCCTGAGCAAATCCAGTGAGCAGAGCCAGAGAGCGCTCTCTCACACCTACCATTAAAGACAGGAGCCAGTGTTTCTTTGCTTGAAATCCATAGCACGCACACTAATCCCAGCTTCACCTTGCTAAGTGTTACCAAGTTAGTGATCCACGCGCTTTCCTCGTGGACTGTTCACGTGCAGATGTGCAACAACTTAATTATGGGTGATGGCGCAAGCTGATGAAGACCCATAAATACAAGTGTTCAACTTTTCTTTGGTTTTTTTCTTCCCCCTCACCCCTGACCAGGTAAATATCTTTAATTTTAGCCCCCAGTTTTCAGGAAGCAGGCAAAGGACAACCTTTGTGTTTAAACAGAAACCAGGGTTTCTTTGAGTGTGATTTGCAATTCAGGGATCTTTGAATCTTCTCTTTGCTTGTGTCTTGTCCTTGACCTTACAGGGTAATTTATTTTTCTAGCTGAAGCTTGCAGGATCTTGTTTATACATCCTCTCTTTGGATGCAGTTTAGAGGCTACTGCCATAATCCTGGGCGTGCCATGAATATAAACCATCACTGGCCTGAGCCTACCAGTGGCTGTGTGCGCCTCTGGTGATGAGCCATCTCAAAAGAAAAAATCATAGGAAAGAGAAGGAGGGATGCTTATGTGCTCTTCATGGGTGCCCTCTGGACTGCCATGTGGGTATGAACCTCCAAATTTTGTTCAAGCTTCTCAGCGATTCTCCCAAGCAAGCACTTGCATTCTGCTAGAATCTGACCTTTACTGAGGAAACTAGGGGCAATATCATTAATTAAAGTTGATAATATGGAAAATCGCTAATTGTTTTAATAACCTGTGAGCACAGTGGATTTGCACTGGACAGTTTCCCAGCAGACTGCACATCAGCATCTGTGTGTCAGGTGCCTCCTGCTCTAATAGAGTGGTACCACATTCACAGCTGCTTGGGGATCACGCTCTGGTTTCTGCAAGGCTTGCTCGCAGTGTTGCCCAGCTTATGCCCAAAGCCAAAAGGACTGCGGTTGGGCGCAGCGGCCTGAGTTGGCAGTCATGAACACAAGTCAGAACAGCCGTTGGGCACATGCAAGCACACCTTTGAATCACAATGCTTTGATGTTGCAGATTTACACACACCAGCCACCATAACAGGATCCGACCTTAGGATCCCGATGATTAATGTTCGAGTGAAGGTTTCCAGTTCCTCTGTTATTAGTTCTCAGGTGACAGCTTGAGCTGGGTGCCTCCAGAGAGGGACCTGTACCCCAATTCATGCCTCTCAATTATACCTGTGCCACCCATCACCCAATCCCCAAGTCCAATCACTTAATTCTGGTCGGTGGTCTCTTGATTTCTTACTGGTTTTCACTGTTGCAGGACTGGTCATCTTCTGAAGTTACTTCATTCTCTTGGAATTGTCTCCTTGGTTCTTATCTTCTTCATTCCACTCGTATCTGGTGGAAAAGGACCTGGGGGTGGTGATCAATAACCAGCTGAACAGGAGCCAGCAGTGTGCCCAGGGGGCCAAGGAGGCCAATGGCATCCTGGCTTGTGTCAGCAATAGCGTGGCCAGCAGGGACAGGGAAGGGATCTCACCCCTGTACTCAGCACTGGTGAGGCCGCACCTTGATTACTGTGTTCAGTTTTGGGCCCCTCACTGCAGAGAAGACACTGAGGTGCTGGAGGATGTCCAGAGAAGGGCAACAAAGCTGGTGAAGGGTCTAGACACAAGTCCTGTGAGGAGCAGCTGAGGGAACTCGGGGTGTTTAGCCTGGAGAAAAGGAGGGTGAGGGGAGCCCTTTCAGCTCTCTACAGCTACCTGGAAGGAGGCTGTAACAAGGTGGGGGTCAGTCTCTTCTCCCAGGTAACAAGCGATAGGACGAGAGAAAACGGCCTCAAGTTTGCCAGGGGAGGTTTAGATTGGGTATTAGGGAAAATTTCTTCACCAAAAGGCTGCCCAGGGAAGTGGTTGAGTCACCATCCCTGGAAGTATTTCAAAGAAATAACGTAGACATAGCACTTAGGGACATGGCTTAGTGGGACTTGGCAGTGTTAATGCTGGACTCGATCTGAAAGGTCTTTTCCAACCTAAATGATTCTTTTTGCCAGATTCAGCTAGTTCTGTGTTAGCAGCATTAGTTTTATCAAAAAGTTTACTCTCGGTCAGCTCTTGTGGCCTAAGGCTTCAACTACATTAGCTGCTAGGGCTAAGCTGCTAAGTTACACTAAACAAGACACTTCAGAGAGAAGAGAGAAGAATACAGTTAAATTAGATTCCTTCTGTTAACACTGAGAGAGGAAGTGCATGAACTGAGAACATGGGTATTGTTTGTGTGTCACCTCCTCTCTGTCCTTCACTCCTTGCAGGGGCTTGTTAGCTCTCACAGACCTTGCTCTTTCCATTCTCTATGCTTGACTGATTTTGTCCTTCTTTCTGTGGCCTTGGTTCTTCCTGTGCTTGGTGGCTGCTAATCAAGACTCTGTAACTGGTTCAGATAAGTGCTTGAGATCCTTATTTCTCTGCCTTTTCAACTGCCTGTTTACAGCAGCATTTTGAATATAAGCTTGGTCTGGAGAGGGAGTTATCGCCTCCATTTTGTGCATAACCTCCAAGAGCCCAGGGCCTGTCATCTGAAGTCCATGCTTGCACTCAGGGCTCCCAGATGCCTCAGGCTGGTATGACACTTGCAAACATGAGGGAATAGTGGTAGGTGGTTGTTTTTAAATTCAGGTCCTTTTGCTTCTGTATGTTGTGTGTGTCATTTGTCCAGCCCAGCCATAGACTTGGGGATCAGATACAGGTACTGCTGCTACTCCCACTGATGTCAGTGAGAATTTGGTAGTTGGCTTCAGTGACAGCAGAACTGGTTGCTTAATAGGTGGGTGCTGATAAAGCCCTGGGTATGGGGGGGGCTGGATGCATCCCTCAGCTGAGTCAGTTCTTACTCTCCATCATGCAAAGCTATCCAGGGCAGAAGCGGGTCAGCATAGCAAACACGAAGCACGCAATTCTTAAAAGATTTTTTGACCTTTGAGCTTCAGGTGCACAAAGGCAATTGCTTTTTGTCACACGGTTTATATTAATGTTAAGCAATGCTGCTAAATTGGTCTGTAGCACAGCAACAGGGGAAAAAAAACCTCTCAGCTCTTCAGGTGCAACTCTCGTCAGCTGCCGGTATCTGCCTTAGCAGGTAAGCAAGCAGAAGGGAGCTGCTCTAGATGGGAACTAGTAGCAAAGGCCTGCACACACTGTAGCCCCTGTGAAGGGAATGCCCCCTTCTTGGGCAGAGCCCAGATTCAGGGGGGAACAGCTGGGAGTTTTTGTGGTGCACTGGTGATGCGACAGCACTGCAGAGGCCGTGTGTACAGACATGCGGTTCGGGAAGATCTGCACAAGGATTCTGCAACTCTTGACTGGATCAGCATGTAGCCAATGCTAAACTCCAGTTTGGTCTGAAGCAACCAGTTTACATCTGTGCTGGTGTCTGCTAGATTTTTTTTCTTCAGGGTATCCAGAAAAAAGTAAACAGAGGAGGAGCCTACATTTTCATTGTTTATCAGAAATGTATCTCATTTTGCTGTACATTCCTTTTTTAGGATGTGTTATCTGTTTAAAAAAAAAAAAAAAAGAAAAAAACAGAAAAAAGAAAAATATAAAAACAAATGTGTAGTGAAAAATCTTCTGTAACTTTGGATTAAGAGGTAACTGATCTTTTTAAAAAGAGAACTAAGTTATTTACTTTGTAAATGTGCTGATGGCATGGATCCATCTTACTGACCTCAGCATCCTTTTTTTTTAAGATTTTGGGTTTTGTTTCCAATATTAAGTTATTTTAAATTGTGGTTGAAGCAATAGAAAATTGAAATATGGATTGTGCATGACTGTGTCTTGAGTGTAAAAATATTGCAGTTTGAAACTTGGACCTAAAGTATTGCAAATAAAAGTTATAAATACCAATGGATTGCGTGACTGCAGCTTTCCCTGTAGAATTTGCTGGTGCTGTGTGATGAAAGTGTCAGGGCTGGCTGAAGACAGATCAGCCTCCATCACCTGCTGTGTCAGAAAGATTTCATCTGTATGGCTCCGTCTGCTTGTAGCTTTGCCCTGTGTTACTAGCATGTGATGTCATGAGACAGGGCTTCACCTGCCACCAGCCCCTCTTAACCCTCTGCTGCTGGAGCTCCGTGTGTCTCAACTCTGCAAAAGCCTCCAGCCTGCCTCTGCAGCTCCCCAGTTCGCACAAGTCACTGCCGTGATTCTTCCAGTGTGTTGTCTCCATTGTTCCATAAAGAACGACACCCCCTCCTGATGAGCAGGGCGCACTGCACAGATGGCGATTAGCCATCCTTCAGACTGCTCACAGAACCCTAGTCATGTCAGCTCTTGTACTGCTGCTCACGCTAAGCTGGGAAAAAAATCACCTGGCCACCTGCTCAAAAGCTGGGCACTGCTGTTTGTGGGCAACCTGGGCTAGCCTGCCTGGGCCGAGCCCAGCGGTAGCTGCTGTGCAGCCTCACAGCTG